TAAAAAAAACCTTTTTTATTATATTAGCTAATTATTAAAGTTTTATCTTTTTTCTTTTAATTATAAGAAATATAAAAAACCTTAAAAAGTTAAAAATTAAGTAATAAAATAAAAATTAAAAATTAAAATATATACTTTTATAAAAGAAAATAAAAATAATAATAATAAAAAGTAATAATATAATAGCTTTTTTATTCTTACTATTAATATTTTAAAATATTAATTAAGATTTAATTTAATAAGTATTAAAAAAAGAAAAAAGTAAATATTATAATTAATATTATTATATAAATATTATAAGCTAATATTTAAAACCTTTCTTATAAAAAAGTAAAAAAATATATATATATAATACTTTTTTTTATAGTATTATTAATATAATAATAAAAAAGAAAAAAGTAATTAAAATAAGTTATTAAAAAAAAAGAAAAATAATTATAATAAAAATAAAAATTAATTATAGTTTTATATTATTAGCTTTATTCTTTTTTTTAATTTAAGTAATAAATATATTAAAATATTATTTATAAAACCTTATATTTTAATTAGCTTATATATTTAAAGTTTAAAGTTTTAAAGAAATAAAATTAAATTCTTTATATAAGTATAATATATATTACCTTTCTTTTTAAAGCTTTTTAAGCTTTAGTTTAAATAATATTATTAATTATTATTATTACTTCTTTAATTAAGATTCTTTCTCTTATTATATATATTTATAAAGTATAATAATATAAGTATAATTTAATTAATTAAAAATTAAACTAGTCTTAATAAATAAATAATATTAAATAACTTAAATTAATTAAGATTATATATATATATATATAAAATTCTTAATATATAAATATAATTTTAAAATTAAGTATTAATTTTAAAGAAAATTATAAATTATATAATTTTATATTATATATTATTAAATAAAGCTTTTTTTAACTTTTTAAAAATATAAAAAATATATATAACTTTAATTATTTAATTAAGGATTTATTTATAAAAAAAAAGAAATTACTTAATATAAGTTTAAGTTTTTTTTATATTAGCTTTTTTATAACTTTTATAAAATAAATTTATTATTAAGCTTATTATTTATTTTATATTTTATATTTTATATTTTATTAAACTAAAAGTAATAATAAATATATTATTTATTTAATATAATTATTTTACTTTTTTATAAAAGTTTATTATTAAATCTCTTTAGCTTTATAAAAAAATACTTAATAATATTCATAGCTTTTAAATTATTATTAAAGAAGTTATAATAGTTATTTTAAAAATATATTAATTAAGATTAATTTATTTATTAAAAAGTATATTAATTATCTTACTTATTATCTCTTTATTAAATAAAACTATAGCTTATACTTATATTTATAGCTAAATTAACTCTTACTTACTTATATATTAATACTTTTTATATTAATACTTTTTTTAATACTTTTAAAATAATATAAAATTATAAAGTAAATTTCTTTTTATTAATCTTATACTTTTTAAAAAAGTTATAAGTTTATATTAACTTTTATTAACTTAATAATATTAATATTATTAAGAATTTTTAAGTTTAATAAAGTTTAGCTTTTTTAATATAATTAAAAAAGAGCTTAAGCCTTTTTATTATTTAAGAGAGTTAGAAGTTAATTACTCTTTATATTAATATAATTAAATATAAAAGGCTTATTAATTAAGAAAATAAGATATTAATTTTTAAAAAATAATACTTTAATTATAATAATATATATATATAATTAAAGTATATTTATATATTTATATAAAAAATATAAATAATATATATTATTTTTTATAATTATTTTTAATATAATTTATATATTTAAAATTTATATATAAAGTTTATAAAGTAAAACTATTATATAATATAAAATTTATTTAAGAATATTATTATTATTATTAAAGTTATTTATATTAAAGTTATATTTTTAATTTATTAATATTCTTAATAAACCTTAGTTATAATAATAATGCTTAGCAGCCTTTTTATATTATTATAAATAGATTATTATAATATCTAATAGCTACTTTAGGCAGGTGCCTTGCTTTTATTAAGGAATTATTACAGAAAATTATAAAAAAGTAAAGATGCATAAGGATCGCCTCCTAAGTACACACTATACGCCCCTCTAACCCCTGGCTTTACTTTATTTTTTAAGGTATGCAAGGGGCGTGTACTAGGTTTCTAAGAGGTTATATTAGTATAGAGAGGTTTTTTATAGGTCTATATTATTATAGCCTTTACAGGAAGATGCTATACTAATAGATAATTAAAGTGGCTAACTGCAGTGCTTAGCGCAGTCTATTAGTATAGGCAGACTATTATTATAGCTAGGGATTATTATAGCTAAGGTTTACTATATAAGTAAGAATATAAGTTTAAAAAATATAAAGATTTAATAATTATATAAATATTTTATTTATTTAAATAAAAAGATTTTAAAATAACTTTATATAAATTAAATTTCTTTTTATACTTTAATTATTATAAATAATTTAATTTTATTATTATTATAAAGCCCTTATATAATATATTATATTAAAACTTTTTAAATAATAATTTTATAATATATATTATAAAATATTTTAATTTTAAAAGTAAAACTAAGTATTATAAAAATATAAATTATAATATTTAAGCTAGTTTAAATATATTTATTTATTTTACTTTAATAATTAATTATTTTATATTTTTCTATAATTAAGCTTAAAAACTTAAAAAAATATTTAAATTAAAGCTTATTATAAGTTTAATTATATTTTTTATATTATTTAAACTTTAATAACTTTAATAATAATATATTATATTATTTATTAAATATAATATTATAAATATTATTTATAAAATATAATAATTAAAATAAAATATAAAAAATATTATTTAATTATTAATTTTATTTTATATATATATTTAAATTATAAATATTAATTATTAAATAAAAACTAAAATTAAAATTTTTTAATAATTATTTTATAATAAAAGTAAAGTAATTAAAAAATTAAAAAGTTAAGTTTTTATACTATATATAATAATTATAATTTATATAAAATATAAAAAGCTTTATTTAAAATTACTTTTTAAAAAATTATAAATATAATAATTATTTAATTTTCTTTTTAAGCTTTAATTAAAAACTTTATTTTATATAAAAAGCTAAAAGAAAATAAATATAAAAATAAGCTTATTTTATAAAATAATTTAAATTATTTAAGCTTAATTATAAAGTTATTATTAAATAATTAATAATTAAAAGTAATATTAATTAATATTAATACTTATAATTTTAAAATATTATTACTTTTTTAAATTTAATTATATATATAAATATAATATTTTTATACTCTTATAAGAAAAATAAATTTACACTTTTTATAAACTTTAGTAATATTATTATTATAACTTATTCTTTTATTACTAATATATCTTTATTTTCAAACCTTATAGGATTAGATTGTAAGTTTTGTATTGCCCCAGTTGCATGTCTACTAACTAGTTGCCCTTGACGGAGGTTTTCTGTGAAGAGGTAGAAACCCTCATTGGATTCGACGAGATATGACTGCAGACCCTTGCTCTCCAGCAGGACATTCACGTTAGTGAGAGGATAGTGATTCTCAATAAATCGTGCCCAACCCCTGGCTGCGGCTTGGACGTGGTCGCTATCGTTGATCCTTTTCCACCCAATTCCAAGGTGAAGAGTGAAATCGTCAATGACTGGATCGTCATCAATACTGCTGTCGGACATGTTCGCCGTCGTTCGTGGCGTCGCCGACGTCGTTGTGCTGTAGGAGGCATGATCACTCCCATTAAGAAGCCTTTGGGACTTGTGATTCCGCAGTTGTCGCCCATTCGGCAGTCCATTCCCTTGCTGTTCAGTGATCACATCGTCAAGCCCAGTACCAGACAGGCCATCTGCTTCGCGACTGGAAGCCACACATTGCCTAGCGAGCAATATTCCCTCACCATTCATCCAACCGGTTTGAAAACTGCCGTTCGACGCATCAGGCTCGAGATTGTGTGAAGCCTCCTCGTGAGACCGCTTCTTGCCCATAGCCTGAGAAGGCTGTTGAAGGAAAGTCGAACCCTGTGGAAGCATGGTCGTGTGCGGGAGCGGAGGAGGCGTCGACGGTGAGGGAAGCTGGTTGAGATTAAGCCGTTGATAGCGGTGGAATAGAGTGGTCTGGTAGAGTCTCGTGGAGGTAATTGCGAACCCGCGGTTGGAATATGAAGGTCGGGCAGTTGCTGAGATGTGTATGAAGAACAGGCGCGTGAGAAGAGACGATGGGAAGCTAGGGTGCCATGAAAGAGCTGAGTTGTCGGCAAAACATTGGATTTCGAATGCCGAGCGTTTAGTGGAGATTCATGGGGTAGTTTAGTGCCGGATCAGGACCAAGAATGCTGCCTATTCCGGTCAAGACGCCTCGGGGCGGGCAACTACTAGCACAGATGCGAGGGGAAATCGACGGTCTCCACGAATCCGGTGTGAGGCACGAAGAAGGTACTAGGAAATAAAGAAGTAGATAAGGTACGTGGTCTGGTTATTGGCAGTCAATGGTAAAGCGTGTACCTTAGGATGCAAAATCGGGTTGTTACTCGTACGTCCTACAAAGCACAGCCGGTATCTCTGCTTCAATTGTTCATGTTCGCGGTGCGCATGCAAAGATGACTGGGATTATGTAACATTTCTTCAGTGACCTGCTGCTATAGCTCCCGACTCAGAGTTGTGCATAATACACTACCTTAGTAGCATGTTGAAACGAGCATCATTGGGCTATCAGGAGGTATCCATAGCAAGTACACGTAGAGCATTAGCTTTGCCGGACAGGCGTTACTGTAATCTTGCCAGGGTATTCCGAGCCTGCCTCGTTACCGACTGATCGACCGCCTCGAAGCCACCTGAACCTCCGAAAGCGCCCTTCCCATGCTGTAGGTCGAATCGACATGCAAGCTGAGTGCCAACAGATCTCCAACACTGCTGGGCCCTTGTTGCATCTGAAGCGTCGTTTCCGGAGCACTTTGACAAGCTCGAGCACACTCCCCTGAGCTACATGTCGGGCGAAATGCTGTTGTACAACCAGCGTGCCCAAGCGGCACTCTTGAAGGCTGTTAGTAGTATCGATCCTCTCGGTTAGAGCGTCACGCTGATGCGAGTTTCCCCCAGATCAATCGTGTCTTCGATCTGAACCGCGATGCCGAATCTCTCGAAGGTCTGGCTAATGGCATAACCCTCGGTCACATCCTACACGAGTTGGATTCCGAGTTCGACCCGTCGCATCTCGAATCGAATCCAGGAGCTCCCAAAACCCTCACCAATAAGCGCAACATGCAGGCCATTTATAAGGGCCTCTTTCGATTCATTCGCCGTCAAATTCCCGAGCTTAGTTGCCAAGCTAAGAAGTTCGATTATCATGCTTTCGTTGAGAATCCTGAGCCGCAGGGGATCAGCCAGGTATTGTCCCATCTGCTTTCCGGGGAGCACCAGGATTCTAACGGATAACATCTCTAGCTTCTGGCTGTCATGGTCTCGGCCGCCGCAATGGGCCCAGATAATCAGAAATATGTTCCCAGAATTCAGAACGGGCTTGATCGCGATACCCAAGCCGAAATCATGCAGATCATTCGTGCTATGCAGCAAGATATCGTAAACTCCAAGGACGACGATGACCTAGACGAGACTATTGACGCGGTCATGGGAGCTCGCGACATTGAGCTTCTCGTGGAAGAGCAGAACGCTGCCCTGCGCCAGCAACTCGATATCACGAAGAAGACACTATCGGACTACATCACCCGTCTGGAGCACCTCCAACAGAGCCACGAGGAGCTCGCTTACGACAAAGAGAAGAACGACCGGGAGCTGGAGGTTCTACGAAAAGCGACACAAGATGGGGCGCATAGTGCGAAGACCATAAAGCACCTGGAAGAACAAGTCCACGAACAGATGGAGATAATCGCCAGAAACGAAGAGGTCATCCGCAGTAGCCAGAAAACTGTGTCTCAACTGGAGAGTGAGGTGCAACGCCTGAGTCAGAAGAACATGCAGGCGGATGAGTACCGGGACCAGATGACAGAATGGCGACACAAAGCCGAGGAGCTTGAGAAGAAGGCCAACATGGCGGAACGGTACAAGCAAAAGCTCGAATCACAGCAGAGTCTCGTGAGAGAGGTGCAGAATTTACAGTACGAACGAGCGGAGCTCCAAGAACAACTCCGTTCGCTCATGGAGGAGAGGGAGAGGAGCGAGCGAACCAAGAAAGCAGAGGATGAATTAACCAAGATGATCACACAGTCCGAGCAGCATCTATGGGATGAGCGCAACCAGAAAGCGCAACTCTTGAGGGATGTTACCGCTCTCCAGGAAGAACTCATGCGGCTACAGGCACAAAGGACGCATGATGAGCATTTCATTCAAGATTTGCAGGAACAACTGCAACACACCGGTGGCAGCACGGTGCAAGAAGTGGACATCAGTGAAACGTCTTCGCCGTTCAATCTCGAGGACGAGCTGCTCATTGCGTCAAAGGAAGACTCGCAGACTAACCTGCCCCTGGAGCTTTCCAGACTGAGAGCAGAGAACGAGCTGATTCGGAAGACCGTGGGATCTCCCGGAGATGTCGCCGTGCTCCGACGAGAGTTGGAAGAACAAAAACGTCAACGGGAGCGGCTGCAGCAGAACTACAACAGCATCTTCGAGAAATATACCATTTTGAACGACCATATGCAGGCTTTGATGAGCGATAATGCTGAGGAAGGGTCAGTCGGGGGTGTTGAGTTCCTGGCTTCTCGAGAGATGGATACTGACTACTCGTACCGCAGGACTGAGGCATTCATTAAACTTCGACAGGAGTTGACTCGATTGGAGCTTGAATACGAACAAGCCCGGAAGCTAATCAACAGCCTCGAGACTCAGCTAGCAGACAAGAATCGGGAAGTGCTTGCTTTACAGGCAGACCTCTCTGCTGTCCAAAAGGATAGCATAGCGGCATTAGAAGAGCTGAAGAATACGGACAAACTGATATCGACGTCGTTGGCCAGCGAGCTTGATCGACAGAGGGAGGAGTATAGCTTTATAACGAATGAACGAGACGCGCTAAAATCCCAGCTTATTGAAGCTTTACTGGCGAACGACAAGCTTAGGAAAGAGTCAGACGAGAGCAAAGATTTGCATGAGGGCACTGTATCGTCGACCGACGGCGACGGCTCAGATGCCGCGAAGAAGGCCGCCGAAAAGGTCGAGAAGCTACGAGCACGGCTTATTCAGAGAAATCAAGTAAGTTGATAAGCTATGTCGGGGGATGCATGCCAGTTAGACCAGTTACTCACGCCTCCTGTCAGCAACTCGAGAAGTCGGAACAAGAAAGGCTCGAACTCCAAACAAGGCTCAAGGCAGCACAGCTTGGAGAAGGATCAGCAGCGCAAAAGGTAGGCCTTATTACGTCGACATTCTCAGATTCAAGGGGCATAATCAGCCATGGCGGCCAGGCAGCTGCAGCTGTTTCCTCGTCCATCCACATCCATCACACGACTCCCTCTCCCCTGGGATTTGGCAGAAGCGTACAGCTAACCCGAATATTCAGGCCGCTTCGGATCACATTATCAAGAATCTCCAGAGAGAAAATGCATTAATCGCGACTGCTTGGTATGATCTTACGAGTCGGCTTCAGAGCAACCACGTCGTGCTTCAGCGCCGGCACGACGCTCCCAAGAGCTGGCTTAACAAACAGAGGCAGTTGGTGAATGGTCAGTTGCGCCAACGCGACATGCTCTACCTCTACTGACCTGTCTCTTCAGCGACTTCAAGGAGGTAGGACTCAAGGGGTTGAGCTTCATCTACATGCCGTAGCTTCCCCCTGGGACATATATATAATGTTTGCTTGGGCGAATTGTGGGCAAAGAGTTCGGATTTTCAGCGTTGCATATTCCCGATTACACGTTATACATGTAGAAGATTTAGAATTTGTCGGCTGGATCTTGTTTTGTCCAGCCGTCTCGCTTCAACTCTCAAAGCTTTCCATCACGGCGGAATTTTCCCTCCCATTTTTGCAGATAGGTGAAGAAATCCAAAACGCTGGTCTTGTTGCAACGCCATGTCAGCTTCTATCACTTCATGAGATCTCCCATCTTGCAATCATTGCTTTGCTCCAGAGCTATTTTTTTTTTCTAAATTAAAGAGCTCGACCAGAAGAAAAAAGATTAATAGGCTTATAGTAGTAGGCGGAGCCAACCCAGGATACCCATACAACCATATATAAGAGCATACGGGGCATGACCTTTCGAGGGCTTAGCTCTTTCCAGCAATTCTGCTGAAGATGGAAGAGCCATGGGACTTCTTCCCTTCCAGGATTTCCAGCATGTTCTTCCACACCTCACCAGGCTGCTGGCTCGCGTCCACGCCCTTCCAGATGCCGCTCTTTTGGTAGTATTCGACCACAGGGGCCGTCTGCTTGTGGTAAGTCGCGAGACGCTTCTTAAGGGCCTCGGCGTTGTCATCGCTTCTTTGGATGAGAGGCTCTCCAGTCACATCGTCCTTCATGGGCTCCTTGGGGGGGTTGAAGGTCGTGTGGTAGGAGCGTCCAGAAGCCGGGTGGATCAATCGACCAGTGATGCGGGCCACAAGCAGAGCGTCGTCAATCTGCAGCTCGACGGCGTGCTGGAGGGTCTGGTTGCGCTCCTTCAGCATGGCATCGAGGCCTTCCGCCTGAGGCACGGTCCGAGGAAAGCCGTCGAGGATGAACCTGTTGCGCCCCAAGTAAGTTTTGAGAAATCTTTTGCCGGGGGAGACTCAATGGGGCTGCCTACCCGCCCTGGCATTCCTTGTTGTTCTCCAGCTCTTCCTTGATCATGCCAATGACAATGTCGTCGCTGACAAGGCCGCCTTGGTCCATGATTTTCTTGGCCTCTCTTCCGAGAGGAGTCTTCTTGGCGACTTGTGACCGCAGCATGTCGCCAGTAGCCTAGATATTCCGGCACAGCCGATGTCAGACACATGCGCGCGTTCCGCAAGATCCCAATTGATTTCCACATACCAAGTGACAGCAGGAAAAGCGCTCTTTGATCTTTGGCGCTTGGGTTCCCTTGCCTGGGCGGCGTATAAGCATTATGGCGCAAACTCGACAACATCTCTACCATGATCTAGCCACTCACCAGCTCCCGGGGGCCCGATCAGGATCATCCGGAGACTCTCTGCAGTGACAGGAGCGGCTCCTGTAGCGCGCTGTTCGAGCTGCTTGATGCGCGATTCGAGGCCGCCGATTACATCGCGCAGATGCTTCAGTTCGTCCTCTACGAAGCCCATTGTGATTGATCGGGGGCGCGGCGGCGGAGAGTAATTGGCAAGGAGTCAGGAGGATTCGGAATTGGAGCGATTCGAGCACCCAAAAACGAGACTGTAGGTCGAATGGAGGCTACGAGAGGAATTTGAGATGCGGTGGCATGCGGATTTAGTAGATGAAGCTGCCACGGTTCGGTTCCCACCAAAGCTAGGCTAGTTCAGCACTAGCTAAACCTCTAACATTACTAGTTATATAATACGGTATTATATAATCTAAAGCAAATACACTAATTCTATATATAAGTTTCTCAATATATATATATCTATATATTATAATAAAATATCTTAAATAAAATATATTAATTAAGAAATTTATTAAAATATTTTTAAATTAATATTCTATATTAAGTCTTTTACTTGTAATTTGTTTTATAGAGAAACTTATCACTATATAAATATATTGAGCTATATACTTGAATTATAACTTTACATAAGATAGGATAATTATAAGTTCCGGGCGAAGGGAGAGGACTTGGTAGGGTCGTGGCATGGCCGCAAAACTCGCGCACCAACGGGGACTTGCAAGGCGACATGGAACATTACGCAGCTCTGCTCCGTATCCGAGGTATTATTCTACCTAGGCAAGGTAGCATCGGCACTCGATTCGGCGAATTTCCCCGGAGTCTTACGGCCTTGGGAGCTGGTCCGGCCATCGGGAGTTCCATATCGCCTAGCGTTGAACGACTTACACTCTTCCCTCCTTTTGCTATGATACACCCGCCTCGCATGCTAGGCAGGTATCCGAGCAACACGGCACCAATGTAGACATGTGATGGGTGGCATTTGGCATTCTACATACATGATAGTAATAAGGACTCCCGCAAAGGCAGCTGGGCCCGGAACCCCCCACAGCCTCGTTTGGATACAAGATAATGTCCTGCTTAGTGTAGCTACCTTCTAGTATTACGGAGTACACGGACATGAGGAGTAGGTAGTGATATCGAATGAAGACGATATTGCCCGGCTCAGGCAGTACCATCATGCATCGTTCCACAAGTCTTTGGTTTCTTCCTCTACTGCGCGCATCGCCACTGCTACTGATTCAAGCTTAGCAATAACGTCGATGACACCGTCGTTGACGCGCTCGAAATACTCGTCATTGGCCTCGCGACGCTTCCTTGCAAGAAGGATGTCGGCCTCGGTCTCTTCCACCAACTTTGCACCGAGGCGATCAACCCTCTTGTCATCACTCCCTTGCCACCCACTCGATGTACCCATCATGCTCTTTGCCGCGTCGGTCCCTTCTCCCCTGTCTGGCCTTGACGAGTCCAGTAGGCCATCTCTGAGATTAGGTGCTTCATCGCCTTTGATATCATTCATGTGATCACGAAGGGCCGTCTCTATGGTATCGTCCGCCTCACTCCTAGCCCAGGCTTGTGCAAGCACGATCTGAGCAGTCCTCAGCTCCGCCAGTTTGCGGTCGTGTTCAGGCCCAAACACATGAGTGCCTTCTGAGGCAGAGAGTTCCACCTTCTCCAGCGTCGCTTGCATCTCTGCCCACAGCGCATCTGTCCTGTCGGTGCCTCCATAGCTCCCCTTGGCAGGCAAGGTCCACTCAGGGCGCCGGTCGGATGGCATCTCGGACCCGGAGCGCAATTGTGCGCCGCCAGCGTCTACGCTGCCTTGATCCCATTTCAGATTGTGTCTCCCAAGAGCTGGAACATTGGTGTTGAGGGAGCCAGAGAGCGAGACACGGGAAATGCCGGGCGACGGAGAAGCAAACGAAAGAGCCGGAGGATCCCGCTCCTTGGGCTTTGGCTCACCCGTGAGCGACATGGCAAGCCAAAAGAGGAGAGCAGCTAATGCAGAACCAAGGCCGTCCTTCTCAGGAGCATGGCGATCGAGAAGTCGAGGGGTGAAGACGGGATGTGTGGGGCCCGAAGACTGGTTGGTCCGGTTTTAGAGCCGGATCCAAGGCGGAAACGGAAGTACCAGCAGCTTGGTGCCGGTGATGGATCAAAATACACCCGGGTAGCGTTCCGCGGTCACGTGGAGCACGCTTTGCCACTTGCGATTTTGTGCCTCTAGGGCCGCAAACCCTATCGGAGTTTTTGCGAAGTTTCAGTCCACCCTCGACTTTTCGGTGCTGTCACATTACCATACCCAACCCGTGTCGCCATATTAGCATAAACCGGTACGTCCATCACCAACCTCGCCGTCACCCAAACCACCACTTTCCGATTCGCAATTCCCCCCGTACTGACACCACGAAGCAAACATGGCTGGTGGCAAGCCCAGAGGTCTCAACGCCGCGCGCAAGCTGCGAACCAACCGAAAGGATCAGAAATGGGCTGATCTCGCCTACAAGAAGCGTGCTCTGGGCACTGCCTTCAAGTCCTCACCGTTCGGTGGCTCTTCCCACGCCAAGGGCATCGTTCTCGAGAAAGTCGGTGTCGAGGCCAAGCAGCCCAACTCTGCCATTCGAAAGTGTGTCCGAGTTCAGCTGATCAAGAACGGAAAGAAAGTCACTGCTTTCGGTGCGTCAAGAACTCCAAAGAAGTCGTCTCGCGCTTTGGAACCACGGCTAACATTAGGCTCGCCTCACAGTCCCCAACGACGGTTGCTTGAACTTTGTTGACGAGAACGACGAAGTCCTGCTCGCTGGATTCGGTCGCAAGGGCAAGGCCAAGGGTGATATTCCCGGTGTTCGATTCAAGGTCGTCAAGGTGTCTGGTGTCGGTCTGTTGGCTCTGTGGAAGGAGAAGAAGGAGAAGCCCCGATCATAAAGGCAGTTATTGGGAGGAAGGAGGCGTCATCAAAAGGATCTTGAGAGCTCTTTTGGCTCGTTTGGACTGGCACCACTAGTCATGGCCCTATAATGGGAGGCTAAACTTATGAAAGAGATCACAATCTCGAAAGAAACTTTTTTTTCAGCATGTTCAACAGACAGGCGGCACCGCATTGGGCGTCTTATCGCATCACTATATGAAGGACGAAGTGCAGGCAGTATACGTGTTTTTTTATATTGATACAGCCTCATCAGGCATGGAGCTTTGTGTCCTCCGCCGCGGCGGACTCGGGCTCAGCTTCCTTAAGAGAGCGAGAGACATAATCCGCAGCCATACCGAGGCTGATGGCGCCCCCTGTGATCCAACAGCCGTTGACAAACCACCACCAGCAATCCCGCACGCTCTTGAGATTCACGCGCTTGATCATGATGCCCAGCGTTACGAGGGCTCCGCCGCAGCTGCCGAGGAAGAAGATGGGGCCGGCTCCCGCAGCCATCCCAGCTGAGCCCAGCAAAGCTACTTGAGCAATAGCTAGCCCAGTGAGGACCTGCTTGGTCTGGTGCTCGTGCTTTAGAGCAATGCTCTTGATGCCTGCGTTTGCATCATCCTTGATGTCCATATGAGCGTATATCATGTCGTATAGGACGACCCAGGCAATGTTCGAGGTATAGAGACATGCTGCGGCAATGAGCGCGGAATGATTTGAAAGTAGGTCGATACCAAGTGCCGGAAAGCCCATGATCGCACCCCAAGAGAAGGCCAAGCCCAGGACAAATTGAGGATAGTAGGTAACTCGCTTTGCCAGCGGATATGTGAGGACCAGGGCCAGGCTCGGTATGCCATAGGCAAGGCAGGGTAATGGAAACTGAACCAAGACAGCCAGCCCGGCGAGTAACTGAACTCCGGTGAATACGACTCCTTGGAACGGCGTGATTGCACCCCGCGCAATCGGCCGTAGCCGGGTCCTCCTGACGTGCGGATCGAGGTTTCTATCCCAGAGGTCATTAATGGTGCAGCCGGCGCCACGCATGATCAATGCGCCGCTGAAGAACAGAGCCGTCGTGGCGGCGACTGAGGAGAAGGAGGCCATAGGCTCTGCCATTGGCGCCGCTAGGAGCGTAGAGAAGAGGCATGGGAAGAACAGGTAGTAGGTTCCGGCAGGCTTGTCGATGCGGATGAGTTCGCCATAGGGGACCCAGGACTTGGGAACAATCGATAGGATACCATTTTGAGCTGGGGCATACTGCGCTAGATGCTCATCATTAGCTGACTTCTCGGGAGTAGCAGTGTCGACGGTTGGCTGCAGCTTTCTCAGGGTTTGGTGGAAGGCGACAGCTCTTTGGCGATGAACCAGCAATCGACCTGCGAAGCCCTCATGCGAGTGCGAGGCCGGGTGAGGCAGCATCGACGAAGGACCAATCGAGCCATTGCCGCACCTCCATCGCACCCGGTGCAGGGTTGGCACTCTGGCAGCAAGCCTCAGCGTCATGGGATTGCTGGAGAGTGTTTTTGTCACCAGCACACGAAGAGATGTCGAGAACCTTGCATGCAAGTGATCGGATTCGGATATTTTCGATGCAACAAATCCCGCCCTGCTGGAGAGTGAGCTGGTCCAGACTGCCCCACTTCAAAACGAAGCTTTTATCCATAATAGAACTTGGTATTTTCAATATATTATATTATATAAGTAAAAAAGTATATAATAAACAAGTATTATGATTTAAAATGATTTTAATTATAAATATTAAATTAGCTAATAAAAATTAAAAATTCTTATAATAAGAAGCTAATACTAATATTTTATATTAAGTATTACTCTATTCTATTAAATATTAAAAGCTCTTAATAGAATACCGTCTACTGAGGTAAATATTCTATATTAAGCTACCTCACACTGGTAGTGCCTGCTTTGCTGCGTAGTACCTAGTTTCTCCTTCACATGCGCTTGCAGCCAAACGAGGTACGTAGATCGCCTCGTCCCTTGCATGTGCCTCGGCCCAGCCCGCCGTCGCTCACCCCACCTACTCTTCAACTTCCCGGCAGCACTGACAAGATGGACAGAAACCCCGAATGCAATGGACCAGACGACGTTGCATCTTCAATCTCATCTTCATCCAATGGTAAAAGTATACAACTGAGGCCCATGGACTCCAAAGGCAAACAGAAAGCATCGCCAGGTTCGGCAGCTTCTCGCATTGAAGCCTCCGCTAAGCTGGTGGTGAATGCCATTACATCGTCCCGGGAGATGCCGGCTTTGGCCTCGGAATCCAAAACGTCCAGCAGCTCAGGGGGTTCAGCTTCGCTTTCTGGTATTGCTGGCGAGCCCTCATCGCACTCCTCACACAACCAAACACCGTTTGAACAAAAGCGAATAGCGGCAAATGAGTGCCAGAATGACTTATTCGACAGCTTCACTGAGGATTTCACGGATACCTTATCCGCTGATGGCTATCATGCAGGAGTTTCTGGATCCTCAATCGCGAATCAAGAAGCCTCAGATGGCCTGGCGGTCCTGAACCTGCTCTGTCAGTCGGGAATTGAGGAGTCATCTTCGACAATTCTTGACCCAGAGTACGACTTGCGTGCGTTAGACGACGGCGATCCATGGCTTGGGGCTGCACTCGAAACTGCCGATGACCTAGAAGACCGGCTTGATTTCACACCCGACTTCCTCGCCAGGCCCGAGCTGTCTGTTGAAGCAGCATCGTACATGGGGACTGGGGATACCCAAGAGACAAGCCGTACTTGGCTTGGATATTGGGGTGAAGTGTTTGCGACCTACAATGCCCGGGTCTGGGGCAATGCGCATCCGACATCGTCAGGACCCGATCTCGAGCAAGAGCACGGCAGCAGCGAGCCAACAACTATAAACCGGGCGCTTAGTCGGCTGAAGCAGATACTCTATCATCTTAAATAAAATCTCGTTTGAATAGGAACAGTGGGAGTCGAGGTTGACTCCAGATTTGAGGCCGTCGTCATCGTAGTAGGCCCGTTCTCCGTCTACAGCCTTCGGAGCGAGGATGCAGGTGAAATGATTCAAGCACCTCTTGTAGCATATACCAAACCTAAGTTTTTGAATCCCCAATGCCTCACCTACCGGCTGTGCAACCCTGCAGCTTCAGGACCTACGAATGTATCGTCTTCCTCACCCATTTCGCCGGTATCCCATGTATGGGAGCACGCTGGACTGACGTGGGGTACGAGGCAATGGGAGCTACAGTACCGGCGCCTTGGGTCCCCATATGCGCTAAGCCTAGCTTGATGGCGCCTACAGTAGGTAGTAGCTGCGTCGTACAGACTAGGCCGGAATTATTTCCATACTACTATTTCATCCTCGCATCGCGCTTATCAACAATATCCTGGCGGCCAGTGAAGCTGTACGCGATCACATTCATTCACGGTCAGTCCAGTGGCTATTCAACCCCGACGATTCGACAGTTAGCAGGCCCCTACGGGCCTCTACTACGTGCACAACAAGGCTCATATGCGCACCGAGAGACCGCGCTTCTCCTGCAACCAAACATATAGCCGATCGCCGCCCACCGCATCGCCCATGGTCGACGCTGCTGGACAGGTCCACGCAGAACAGAATGCCTAGCGCACAGCACCCACAGGCAAAGTTCGATCCGTTACCGCCAGATCTCGATCTGCCGTCGCTGGTGGATCGGACGCCGAATTTCCGATGGGCGCAGCGGGTATCTCGAGCCCAGATCCGCAGTCTGAGCCAGCAGGACTTTGAGAAGCTTGTCGCGATCCATGTCATAGCAGGCGGCAAGCCCCTCGTCATTGAAGGCTGGGACGCCGTTCTACCTTCCTCGCTGTTCAGTGCAGGATGGCTCGAGCATTCTTATGATAAGAAACGTTGGTTGATTCCCCCAATCTGTCGCGACCAGAGTATAGCACTAACCCGCCTGCCCTGCAGAGGAGAATGTCCGGGACATTTCCAACGGCACTGATATCCCCATGACCATGGGACATTACCTACGGTCTATGAGGCAGCTCACCAACCAGTGGACCCCGAGTACGTATCGCGATGAGAGGCGCCAGCGACTTTACCTCAAGGACATTGACTGTCCCGTGGAATGGAGGGAGGCGCTGCAAAAGATCATACACCCTAATCTATTCTATCTCAACGAAAATGTCACCAGTAAAGGAGGCAAACGGATGCACGACGACGAGGTTTTCGAGAGCGAGACGACTGCTGCGCCGGCCGGAGATCTCATGTCCAGTTTGCCAGAGGAAATGCGAGCCCAAAATCTCATGTGCTACATTGGCCATGAGGGGACCTACACGCCAGCTCATCGGGAGATGTGCGCGTCACTGGGGCAGAACATCATGGTCGAGGCATCGCGAGACGAGAATGGGGAAAAAAGGGGGAGCTCGATTTGGTTCATGACTGAGAGCAAGGACCGCGAAGTTGTTCGCGAATACTTCTTGTCGATGCTCGGTCATGACATCGAGATTGAGAAACACTTCGCGCAAGTCAACGCATGGAAGAAGGCACCATTCGACGTCTACATTGTCGAGCAATGTGTAGGCGACTTCATCCTCATCCCGCCTCTCGCCGCGCACCAGGTCTGGAACAGAGGGACGAGGACGATGAAGGTCGCCTGGAACCGTACAACAGTCGAGACACTGGACCTCGCGCTACACGAAGCGCTTCCCAAAGCTCGCCTGGTGTGTCGGGATGAACAGTATAAGAACAAGGCCATCATATACTACACGCTTCAGAAATACCACGCAGAGCTTCAAGGCGCCCAGAAGAAAGCGGAGATGGTCCAGATTGGCTTTCCCGGCTTTGGGCGCGATGTCTTTAGAAGCTCCCCGCGTGTGAAGCAGCTGGCCGCCGACTTCAAGAAACTGTTTGAGCTGTTCACCGAAATTCTCGTTGACGAAGTTTTCGCCTTCAAAGAAAAGGACGTCGAGTTTCTACCATTTGATTCGTGTGTTACATGTTCTTACTGCAGATCCAACATCTTCAATCGATTCCTGACTTGCAAACACTGCATCAGGCCTCTGATCAATGGGGAAGAGGATGCATATGACGTCTGCATGGAATGCTACGCAATGGGCCGATCATGCGCCTGCCTTTCTGGTCTTCAGTGGTGCGAGCAGTGGTCATGGTCCGAGTTGACTGACAACTATGAAGCTTGGAGAGCAACCGTCATTGCCATTGATGGCCATGTGGATTTGGAACGCTCTCCGCATCCGCTCGAGGTAGCTAGACAGAGGACAGGGAAGAAATCTCTTGCTCAGATCTGCCAAGAGGCCTTACGACGCCGTCCATGGAAAGATATTACCAAACCGGAGCGTGAAATCACGCCCAGTGACAGTGAGCCGGGCGACGGGGAAGGCAAACTAACCAAGAAGCCAAAGAAGAAGAGAAAGAAGAAGGGCGAACTTCAACGATGCCACGTCTGCTGTCACCCGGATTACAGCTATCGAGTACATTCGTGTACGAATCCTGGGTGTTCTGAAGCCTACTGCTATGGCGTCCTATATCGGGCATTTGATCTAATGCCGCAAACGGTCTTGGAAGACGAGCACTGGCAATGCCCCAAGTGCCTTGGAATATGCAACTGTGGTCACTGCCGCCGCGCAGGTATCACGCAGCCATACATGCCCAAAAACACATCTCTCGGGCACGATACTCGCCGAATAGCCGACGACCGCAGCGTGGAGGCCCTCGTTGATTTCCGAATCCACAACCTGTCTTGGTTGAAGGCCGCAGGGGAGGAAAGCCGTAGCAGGGACAGCAAGAGAATGCAATTGCTACGGGAGCAGGCGGATAATGCCAAAGCGCAAGACGCGCTCACACAGGATCAAGCAGAGCCCAGGATGCACCCCAGTACTGTCTTCACCACGCAGCTGGAGGAGGCTCACGCAATCAATGGCTATGGAGACCAAAGCCATGTGCTCGGTCGGGATGGAAACCCTCCAGAATTCACTCTTGACGTGCCTAATGGCCAACCTCGCGGTGTTGACAATGCGCCGCAGGAGGCTGCGGCGCCTATTGCGGCCAGCGCTGGTGAGGTGGTGGCGGATTCATCTCAGTATCCCGATCCATCGGTATTCGCACGCCAGCGCATAGGAATGGGTTATTACGAGCAGGATGACACTCCTGACAAGATTCTTTTTGATCCATACCAGGCGCCTTCCACAGACTCGTTGCAAGCTGATGAACCTACAGTTCCGGAGTTTGTAAAGAAGTCCATCCGGGCAGCCAAGAGAAAAGCGAAGCGGGAGAATGAAGATCCCGAGTTCACACTTCGAAAGAGTCATCACAAAAGACCCAAGCTCATACCTGAGTCATCCGATTTCCTCGATACCATGGATCCGGCTCTTTTTGCTGATGGAGGCTCGGCAGCAATGGCTACTCCTGCGGCTCCTCTGGCTCCCATGGACAACGGAGCTTCGGCGACTTCGTCTGCAGCACCCGGAGAAGACCCTGAGCCCAAAGCCCCGAGAATGACTATGCCCCAATATGATGCGAATGAGCCAATTCTTCGACATGCTAAGCCACGAGCGTCTTACGTGGAGGTCGACGACCTAGATATAGATGAATTAGAGGAGACCGCTGTTCCTTCTTGGCCCTCCCCACCGCTGGCCGGGAGCTCAACGAAGGCTCATACCTCAGCAAGTGGTGACAAAACTCAGGCTGTACATGCGAATGGCAATGGACAGGAATCGAGTAAGCCTGAGGAAAAACCATCTGACCTTCCAACTCGGGAGGCAAATGGGGACGTGGTGCCAAAGCGACGTGGCCGTCCCCCGAGAAATTTGTCCAAGAAGGCCTCATCAGCGAAAAGGAATCACAATTCGCCGCCGCCTCGAGCTGATAGCCAGACGGGTAAGCGGCGTAGGGGACGCCCAAGAAAGTCATTGTCTACATCATTCATGGAGCCAGACGACAGTCACGAAGAAGACGAAGATGACGTTGATGCAGAGGCGGCATTTGATGATGCCGATGATGCGGATTTCAGCCCGGCTCGGAATTCTCGGAGCCGACGTTGGCCCTCCAGACGTCGAGGCATCACCACCATCGCCGCCAGCAGTACACGGGACGATGAGTACCCTGATACCTCCACGGAAGTACCGCTCGAGGATGAAGCAGGAGACCAGGCACCAAAGAGGAAGAGAGGCCGACCTCGAAAATCCGACGTATCTACTACGTCTACTCGAGGCGGAACCTCTCTGGATGTGGTCATACCGGTACATTCACAATTCATGTCCATGGCTGAACGGATGGCTCTTAAAGGGAGGTCATTCAAGATCGGGACGCGGAAATCGCTGAACCAGTCGAAGGGTTCTCGAGCGGGACAGGAAACGAATGGTGACAAGAAGGAGCAAACCCAAGAGCACTCCGCCGAGAAAGGAGTGTCCAGGGGAGGTTCTCACCTGGAAAAGGCTTTTGAAGACGGGGGTGAGGGAGAAGGGAGCGGCAGGGACTCAACATCGAAGAGGCCCGACAATAGTGATGAGAGTGACCATGGGCGCAGGGGCCGAAGCGCAGAGAATGACCAGACAAGACGTCGTTCTCTGTCAAGCAGCTCTAAGGAATCAACGGACGACGAGGATATACCTTCGAATGGTCGCATGGTCCGTAGCACCAGGCGTTGAGGAAAGATGTTGACAAAGCAAGAGGGGAATTAATGCCTTCTGAGAGGGCCAAGCGAACGTAATCTCGAGGCAATACGGAGTACTGTATGAGGCAAATGTAATCTGGAATGAAAATTGTAGTATAATGACAAAACGAACTTGCGTCACGACTGATGCTCATCGTCGCTCTGTGCTGTCATGAATGACCCTTGAATGACTGGCTTTATGCTCACGTTGGGAGCCCTTGACCGCGAGAAAGGCCGGCGTTCTTTCTTATACTTGTTTTGGTATGTATAGTACCTAGATTATCAATAGTATGTCTTATTTTCAAGCTATACTATCGCGTTTATACTTGTCTTTATTTTTCTTGCCTAAATATGATTAGGACGTTGCTTCACTCCTGCATTCACTCCTTAGTATAGACTACCATATGCAACCCTTGAGCTTTGTGACTGCGTTTAGGCGCTCTCCAGTGTTCCAAAAGATTTCTACCTGTCGGCTACAGTGCTGAAAATACAAAGAGCTGTCGCGAGAGCCGTCTGGTTAGCTTCCAATACATCGGTAGAACGACTTGTTTCCAGGCCGGGGGGGTTGGCAGGGACTCACATTGTTGGTTGCGGCTATGGCAATACTGTCCTCAAACGGATGCCAGATACTGTCCTCAAACGGATGCCAGCTCATGTGTAGTATCTTCTTGTTGAAGTCAATCTGGTCCGCGTCCGTCTCTTTCCGCATCCTCTGACCCTGGGCACCACCAGCCGGGCTCCCCGCTCTTGAGCCCCCCTTCTTGCCGCCATTCGCAGCGGGACTTGAAGACGAGTTGATGGGCGTAGGAACGCCCACCTTCTTTGCCTTGAAAGCCGACTTGTCCGCCTGGAGGACCACCTCCACCTCCTTGTCCGGGTCGGAAGGATAGATCATGAAGTTGTTGTTGTAGCTGCCGGTCATGACGTTTTTGGCGTCGCCAGAGAAGACGACCTCGAACTTGTCGAAGATACTATCGTTTTCGTACGTGTCGCATAATCGAGGTCGCAGGTGCTCGTGAATCGGTATCGTCTTGACCGGCTGCCGCTCCATGTTGATGTCCCAGATCTTGACGGTGAGGTAATCTCGAGACAAGACATATCTTCCGTCGTAGGAGAATCGAACATCTGATATTGACGAGATGATTTCAGAGAAGAACGACCTCGATGAAGGGTCCTCTTCTTGTTCGAATACTATGAGTGAGTCCCCGTGGACCCCTTTGATTAGCTACTACTTCTTCTTGTTTTTGCTTTCCTGGAAAAAACAAGTCTGTCGAGCGGGATTGGCTTGGTTTGGTACAAACATTTTGCGTGCTGGTCGCACAGGGCGCTCTCTCGCATGTCGGCAAGCTTGATGGTGCCCTTTGAGCTGGCATACATGAACCAGTTGCAGCTGATGGGGTGGAACTCGGCAGCGGTGATGACCTCGGTCAGCTCCTCCATGTTGGCGGGTTTGATATCAACGATGTTGAAGCTCTGGTCCTGGATGTTGAGGTTCCAGAGATTGATGCGCAAATCGTCACTGCTAATGAAGGTTTCGCCATCACTGTTGACGGATATGCTGTTGATGTGGTACGCGTGGGCGTTGGCGTAGGTCCGTCGCGGGACGGCAGCCACAACGGTGTCATGATGTGTGAGACGAGGCAGCTTGAGGTCCGCCGCGTTCCTGAAGTGCTGCGTCGTGGGCAGAGCTCGAAGGCCGCCGCCGCCGCCTACCGGGCCGCCGGGCGTTACGTCGTGAGAAAGATTGTTCTCGGCCACCACTTTAAGAGACTTCTCGAACACCTTCCACAGCTTGATCGTCTTGTCGTTGGTTGATAGGAGGTAATGGGAGGCATTCTGTCGACGGCACCACTTGATCTTGTTGATCTTCTCCTCGATCTCGAGCGACTTCAGATAGTCAAACTCAGGCTCATGGGACTGAAACTCGGTGTGAAACTTGTATTCACAGGATTTTTTCTGCGGAGCATTCCATTAGATTAGAGACGGCTGCGAGCTGGCGGCATGGAGGCAGGGAGGCAGGGAGACAGAGGGGCTGAAGGGGGCTGAGGTGCAGAAGGGGACGAAGAAGGACAGGAGGGGGCAGGGCAGCGAGTCTTTACCGTCTCGTTCCGCTCAAATAGAACCACTCGTCCTCCCTTATCGCCGGTGGCCAGATAGTTGCCTGTGTGGTCAAACTCTACCGTCGAGATGATGTCGGCTGGGGCTCCGCGGTCAGTATCTCACATCATACGTCAGAGGGGAGAGGTCTGCTTTGTCTGGCAGGCGAACCTTCGGTGATATCCTCGACATCGCCCTTGTCGCCGAAGCATCTGCAGCAATCTCGAGTCAGCGGCACGCCCAATTCACGGCGGGCTCAGAGTCGGGGGCACGTACTGGGTGAACTTCCAGGTCGGCGAGCTCGCTTCACTGTCGACCATTTTGGTTGGCAGCGATAGCAGGGATCAGAGGTGAGGGATCAGAGGTGGCACAGGCAGCCGGGGGTGACGAGATGCGGCGGAAGCAGGACAGGAGGGCGATGGCGGGCGATGGCTCGGGGCGCTGGGCAGGTCGCTGCAGCTCGGTGAGGTTTGGAGCTTCGGGGGTGGTCGGGGCGGTGGTCGAAGCGCAATCAGTCGTGATGAGGCGGATGATGTCGTTTGCCGTGGCACTTTGGCGGGCTGAAGAGAGACCGCACAGCTCGAGGTTACTAACGAGGTGCCACAAGCTCTAGCCGGTGGTGGGGCACGAGAGCAGCAAGAAGCCAGATACACTAAGGACTAAGGAGAGACAGATAGAGGGGTTGGCACGGTTGGGCCGCAGCAGATGCTCGGGGCTTGATTGAATGATGATGCGCGTTCCGCTGACGCCAGCTACAAGTATGTGCTCTAGAAAAGGAAGCAAAAAGAGAAGACGGGGTGGCAGCCCAACTTTTTGGCGGCTTAGTACCTGATGATGAGCTAGACTTCTGTATGTACCTTCACAATACATTGCCAACATTGCCTGACGTCTGGTGCAAAGCAAAAAAGCGGGCTGTTTTGGGCGATTGTCTAATGATGAAGTACTGCATGGTCGTATCGCTGATTGGCTTTTTTCTTTGGGAATACCAGGTCATGTTACAGATTGCCTCCGATGACTACCTTGCTATGAAACAACTGTCTAGGATTGTAACCAAGGCTTTTGGATGACCATGTCATGCTGCCGACACTTGGCTGTGCATCATGGTGGCGCATCTGAGCGGCTCGGTGCTAAGCAGTGCCTCTGCTCTCTACTCTGCTCAGCTCGTAGGCCTTCTGAACCATACGATCTATGTACTTGGAAAAGCAGTAGGAAGCAGAATCAAGCAGAGGTGACTGAAGGCTGATATGTTGGTAGGTAGTGGTCCTCTGTTCATGTAGGCATGGTAGATAGGTTGTTCGATATCGCAACGCTCAGAAGCAGCCCCTCCCCCTCCATCTCCTCTCAACGCGTCCGTAATATCTGGTCGATATGCTCTCGGCTATTCTTGTGCGTCGTCTCCAGATACAGCAATCGTTGGTTCAACTTGTCAACCTCCCCATCGAGGTCTTGGATCTGGCGCTGTAGCTTTTCTTGCAGAGTGCTAGGAGGAAGAGAAACAAACCTAGGGTCCGGAGAGCCTCAATGTTAGTCCCGCCATCGCGCAGTTGCCATGCTTTGCAATTGGACATGGTAACGTACATTTTCCCGACGCCTTCATACATGACGGAGTCGCTTGGGAAGCTCTGCACTTCGCTCATGGTCAACCGCAGCAGGCGTTGCTCTCGCTGTTTCGCTGCTAATTGGGTTCGGACTATGCCAATCTGCTGCTGCGCTGCGATGGCTTGGGACTCGATCTCAAGCGCCAGCTAATCACGACATCAGCACGGATTGTAAAGCTTTGAGAGCCACGGCACTCACCTTCTGAAGAGCCTCATTCGGTATGGCCATGGCGGGCAGCTGGGTTTTACCTTGAGGCAGCTCAAGGTCAGTCCATTGACGTCGCGGAACAAAGCTGCAAGAGAAACGGCCAGTAGGGCGATTGAGCAGGGGACCTACATACTTTAGGGAGGGACTCGGGGAGGGACCTACGGATCGCTTATCGATACCTGTACAGTGGATTGCGTCTCCTGAACTGCTACATCGTACGGAGTATCCAGTACTTCAGGTTGCTGCTAAAATCGCAGAACCACACATGGAGCTGTCAGCTGCACGAAGCGAAGGTCCTCAGTTCAGGTGTATGATATTGACTCAGAAGGAAACAATCAAATTGATTGAATTCAATACCTCATACCTGAGAAAATAAAAAAATGTAGTTATGATAAAATTAAAGCAGCTAGAGCTCACATGCAACCCATTCAGATATGGCCATTGTATTGCTGGTAGTACTTCGTACCGGGTACCTGCTCAGAAGTGCAAGTGACACAGAGCTCAGGTCGGCGTAAGGGAAAGTCTCCACTCCATGAACTTTGGCTTGAGATTTTTTGCCCATACGTCTCCTTGCGTGCAGCGCCTGGACAAACCAAACCTCGATCCATCATCACTCTCGAATTTCCTTGTCCAAAGGCCCTGGGAGACGTCGCACACACAAAGAGTCGCATGCCTCACTCGGGATCGCTGACTCTCGATATATACGCTGCCGGATTGATAAGCCTCACCGCGGACGACTTCAATCCCGACCACGCGTAATCGCGTTTCTCATCCTTCCACTACCTCACCTGTCGAGAATCGCTCAGCGGCACCAAGCGGTCGTATTCCTATCGCAATAGCCATAGCCCAGCATGGGTATCCCCGCAGCCTTCCGATGGCTATCCAACAAATATCCCAAAATCATCTCACCCGTGATAGAGGAGACGCCCATCACCACTGAAGAAGGCGTTACCATCCCAGTGGACACCACCAGACCCAACCCCAATGGCGAGGAGCTCGACAACCTGTACCTGGACATGAATGGCATTGTCCACCCATGTTCGCATCCAGAGGACAGGCCTGCGCCCGCCGACGAGGAGGAGATGATGCTCGAGGTCTTCAGATATACTGACCGTGTCGTCAACATGGTCCGCCCGCGCAAAATCCTGATGATTGCCGTTGGTAAGTAATGCATCCTTTCTTCACCATGTTCCTCACCCTTCAGCGGCCTCAACGGTGGCTTTGCAATTATCTCAGCGTTGGCTAATGAAACATTCTTAGACGGAGTCGCACCAAGAGCGAAGATGAACCAGCAGCGGTCGCGGCGATTTCGATCAGCTCGGGAAGCGAAGGAGAAGGAAGAGGATAAGCAAGCGCTCATCGAGTTACTCAAGCGCCAGAATGGCGGCGTTTTCGAAGCTGCAGACTCCGAAGCCGTTGTCAAGAAGGCATTCGATTCCAACTCCATCACCCCAGGCACACCATTCATGGATATCCTCGCCATGAGTTTGCGATACTGGTGCCAGTATAAGCTGAACACGGATCCTGCCTGGGCGAAGCTCAAAATCATCATATCTGATGCTACCGTGCCGGGTGAAGGCGAGCACAAAATCATGAACTTCATCCGATCTCAGCGCACCTCCCCGAATTACGATCCCAACACACGCCATGTCATCTATGGCTTGGATGCCGATCTCATCATGCTGGGACTCGCCACGCACGAACCTCACTTCCGAGTTCTGCGTGAAGATGTCTTCTTCAACGAAGGCAAGAACAGGACGTGTAAGCTCTGTGGTCAGAAGGGGCATGAGGCAAACAACTGTCGTGGAACCGCAAAGCCCAACGATATGGCTGAGGGCGATGGGCAAGCCAAGGCCGTCCAGGCCCCCTTGAAGCCTTTCATCTGGCTACACGTCTCTGTCTTGAGGGAGTATCTCGCCATCGAGCTGTCTGTTCCTGATCTTCCCTTTAGGTTCGATTTGGAACGGGCCATTGACGACTGGATCTTCATGTGCTGCTTCGTCGGTAATGACTTTCTGCCTCACTTGCCAGCTCTGGAAATTCGCGAACATGGAATCGACACCTTGACTACGATCTGGAGAAACAGCTTACCATCCATGGGAGGTTATGTCACCAAAGACGGCCACATTGATTTGGAGAGAGCACAAGTTATACTTGACGGCCTCGCCAGTCAGGAGGCTGCAATCTTCAAGCGAAGGAAAGAACAAGAGGATCGCCGAGAAGCCTCTTTCAAGCGCAGGAAGCTTCAAAACGAGGGCTACTCGAGGAACGGGCAGCATGGCGCTTCTTCCAAGATCAACGGACACGCAGACCCTTCCAAGGGCCTGCATCTCTTCCCTATTGCAGCGCAGACTGCGAACTCATCCAACAATCTCAACGTCACACACGACATGGTCGTCAGCCGCGGCGCGGCCCAAGATGCGACGCTTGCCAATAGGGGTGCCGCCAGCGTAATTCGAGATCGACTCCGCGCTGACACGGCCAAGGTCGAAGACGGATCCAACGCCCCTGCAGACAGCACTCCCGCAGACAGCGCTCCCGCAGACAGCGCTCCCGCGGACACTACTCCGCAAACCCTGCCTTCGTCTCTTGGAAAGAGAAAGGCTGCAGAGTTAGATGATACCGCCAACTCTTCTTCGGCGGAATCCTTGGCCAGCAAACCCGTGGCTCCGCAAGAGGCCGAGCCAGTTGACAATGTTCGTCTTTGGGAAGAAGGCTACGAAGATCGCTACTATCAGCAGAAGTTTGGAAAAGATCCACAAGACATTGAATTCCGCCACAAAGTAGCTCATGCCTACGTGGAAGGATTGGCGTGGGTGTTGTTGTATTACTTCCAGGGATGCCCATCATGGGAGTGGTATTACCCATACCACTACGCCCCCTTTGCCGCTGACTTCAAAGACCTCGGGAAAATGGAAATCAGTTTCGAAAAGGGACGAGTTTCCAGGCCTTTCGAGCAACTCATGAGCGTCTTGCCGGCGGCGTCTCGTCACGCTCTCCCAGAGGTGTTCCACGATCTCATGACTGAAAAGGACAGCGAGATTATCGATTTTTATCCTGAGGAGTTTGAGATTGACCTCAATGGAAAGAAGATGGCATGGCAGGGTGTGGCTTTGCTCCCATTCATCGACATGACGCGTCTCCTCAAAGCTGTTCAAGCCAAGTACCCGCAATTGAGCCCAGATGATGTTGCACGGAATACGATTGGCAAGGACGTTTTGATACTGTCCGATAACCATGAAGGCCTCTACGACGATATCTTGACCACCTTCTATTCCAAGAAGCAAGACCGCTCAAGGCTCACCATTAACCCGGCGAACAGCAATGGCTTGGCAGGAGAAATAGAGAAGCAGGAGGACTCAGTTCCTCATGGAGCCCTGCGCTATCCCCTAGAGCGGCGATCGATGCCGGATCTCGATTACGATCATTCCATCAGGTATTTTCACCCTAACATTCTGTGACACTCTGCTAACCAAGCGCAGCGTTTACTACGACATGCCCCAGCTATCGCAAACCCACAAATCAATGCTTCTGCGCGGAGTGCGAATGCCGCCGCCTGCTCTGACCAGGAGTGATATCGAGGAAATTCGAGGGAAAACCAACCGATCAGGCCGCAACTACGGGAACTACGGAAACAACAATGGCCGAGGACGAGGTGGTTATTCAGGCGGTTATAGGGATTCCCGGGAGCCTTACAACGGGCGCAACCGTGACAACCAGCGCTTCCAATCATACCCCAATCCATCGTATGGCATGCCACAACAACCGTTCTATGGCATGCCGCAACAACCGCCTTATGGCATGCCGCAACAGCCGCCTTATGGCATGCCACAGCAGCAGCCGTATGGCGGGCCGCAACACGGGGGGTGGCAGCCGTCAGGCGGGCCGGCATTCGATCCGAGAGCAGGCCCATCGCCATTCCCCAATGCGCGACACCAACAGGGCTGGTCTGACGGTAGGAATGAGTACCGCGGCCGAGGGAGGCGCGGACCGGATTCTGGACCTCGGCCTCCCTATCGTGGCGGCCACTGGCAAGGACGTGACCATGCGTAACTGACATAATTCGCCCTCATGTGCGTGTGTGAGAACGAGATCATTTTTTCTTCTTTTTCAAACGGAACATACACGTCGTAGGAGCCATTATATCTAAGCGTACTGCTATACCGCCCAGCAAATCATGTCCATGCCAGGGAGCCATCCTACGTAAACCAGTCGTCTCACATTCACCAGACCTTCTATCTCGTCCATGTGTATGACGAAGTAAACATTAGGAGTCAGATAGAATTAGTAATGTCAGGTTCATCTCTTTTTTCCATGTCCTTTGCTCATGCATATGTTCGTATCAACCAAGGCCGCCCCAGATACCTCGAATTCTCCTCGCAAGCTGTATGTCTTTCTGCATCAGGGTAACCCTCTTCGCGTGTACAGCGCACAGCTGCGCATCCTCAAACAGATGCACCATGAAGGCCTCTGCGGCTTCTTGCAGCGCCTGAATGGCCTGGCTCTGCCATCTAAACTCCTTTCCCCTCGGACGACAATTCAACCCAATTTCTCGAACCTATCCATTATCAAAAAAACACGTCCAGGTTGCGACCGGGGATTTAAAGCGTGGCACTCACGAGGCGCATAAACGGCAGCTTCAACAGCAAAAGCTTCGTGTTGGCCTGGTATTGCCTGATTTCCCGCAATGCGACGGTACCTGGGCGATATCGTCGTCGCTGTCTCGTGGGCAGTGGATCGCCGGCTGAAGAAAGGGTTAGCAAGACGGACGGCGAAGGGCAACGAGAAGTTGTATTTGTTCGTGTCACGCACGCTGTACATCGCTCGGTCTGTGGCGCACTTTTTGTGAGGTTCCCGAGGTCGACTGACGAGGAGGCATTGTGGGCAGAGGAGCAAATCAGTCAAGGAAAGCGCGGAGAAACGTAGAAAACCATGCGCGATGGCCAGCTCGTGGCCTACATCGAGGCTCAATCGAGGTGTAGAACAAAAGGTTCCAGGTTGGTCGCACTATATTTTGTTCTGCTATGTGGAACGACGCGTCCCTGGTCAACCCGGTGACAGCCAAGCTTCGCCCGATAAGATAAGGCGCATGATCCACGTTGCATCTAGTATCTTTGGAAACAGCTCTCGCAGGGTCTATGTATGTACCTTACCTCAGTAACCAAGAACGATATCTCAACAAAGATTTAATTAATAGTGCAAATTTTGGACATTTGATAAATAAAGAGAAGTATAGATATAGAATGATCATGAGAAATACATTGATTTTCTACTCCATACCTACATAAGCCGTGTTTCTACTAGGACGTTGCGGATATGGTTGCCTCCAGTTCAATCATGATGGCCAAGTTACAGGGCAACGCCCCTGATTCGCCAATCGATATTAGTGCTTCGTAAATTGGAACGTGTTTCTAGAAGCTCTCCGCTGAGCTCCAGTCCAACTAGTAGTATTGCTTCGTTCCTCGAAGCTCTCTGCAGCAGTCAGTTCCCTCACGCCAACTGCCGGCCAGGGACATGGGTGAGGCGACGACATGTTCTCCATCTCCAGCACGCCGGCGAAACAATCCGTTGGCGACACCATCAGCGTCCTCAGCGGCCGACTCGGTTCCGCAACCCTCCTCGAAGACCGGCGCGCTGCTGTCCTGGGCCTGCGAAGCTTCGCAAAGGATTACCCAGCCACTGTAGCATCGGGGGCTCTGAGGGGCTTGATTGGCAGCTTGTCCAAGGACGCCGAAGATGTCGACACCATCAAGATCGTGCTGGAAACCCTGTTGATGCTCTTCAACCCCAACAAGGAGAGCCCCGAGGCATCAGACGAAATCGCACTCTGGCTGGCCGACGAGTTCACCCAGCGCCAGGAAAACATCGACCTCGTCCTCGATTTCCTTGATACCTCCGACTTCTACTCGCGCCTATACTCTCTGCAGCTACTCAGCTCGATCCTCACGGCACGGACGCAGCGGACGGAAGAATGCGTCCTCTCCGCACCCCTGGGCATCAGCCGCCTCGTCGCTGCGCTTGACGACCAACGGGAGGCGATACGCACAGAAGGCGTCAATCTGTTGATATTACTGACGTCCAGCTCTCTAGAGATACAAAAGCTCGTCGCCTTTCAGAATGCGTTTGAGAAGTTGTTCGACATTATTGCCGCGGACGGCTCACTTTCCGAAGGCGGGAGGACGGTGGAGGACAGCTTGATACTCCTGGCCAACCTGCTGAGGGGCAATTTCGCCAACCAGTCGCTCTTCCGGGAATCGGGTTGCATAGGCAAGCTCACGGAGATGCTCAAGGGCCTGCTCGAAGCGCAGAAGCAAGAAGATAACCTCGCTAAGTGGGCGCAGATCCAGCACAACCGCAACATCTACGCATTCCTCTCCATCATCCGGCTGTTCTTGTCGCCAGGCTCCGCAGAGACGCACCAGAATCAGGCTACGTTCTGGAGGCATGGCCTCAGCTATCTCGTCCTGCAACTCGCGTTCGGCCACGATGTTCAGTTCCAAATCAAGGCCGAGGTGCGGACGTCTGATATCCTGCTCTTATTGTTGTCGGGCCGCAATGATAACATTTCTAGTAGGCCTTGCTCGCATGTGGCGACCTGATCCGTAACAACATGCCCGTGCAGGAGGCATTTGCCTCTCTCATGGTCCCTCCTCCGCTGGAATCCGCGGCTGAGACCCCAAGTGCGCCCAATGGCCAGGCCAAGATATACATTATTGACGGCCTGCTTGACTTGACACTGAATGTGCACGAACTTTCTGCGTTTGATTTACGTTACGCTGCCTGCCAATGCCTAAAGGCTTACTTCTCCAACCATGACGAAGTAAAGTCTCACTTTCTGGGCAGAGCCATAGAAGGCTACCAGTCTGGCCGGGACGAATCTGCCAACATCCTGAGTGTCCTGCTGAGGCTACCAGGTGACGTATTTCTCAGCGACCCATATCGCGTGTGGTTCGCCGCCGTCATCGCCTTCCATCTGCTCTATGACAATCCTGCGGCCAAGGCAGTGGCAAAGGGCTTGACCGAAGGCGATGCCTCCAAGGGTGAAGAAGTGGTGACCAGTATCCAGACGATCACAGCGCATCTTCTCATGCGGATACGCCGAGACGACGATACTCGGATATTGGTAGCATACCTGATGCTCCTCCTCGGCTGGCTGTTTGAGGACCTTGACGCCGTCAATGATTTCCTGGCCGAAGGGAGCAACGTTCAGGGACTTATACAGGTAATCACGCAGCCGGTTCGCGTGACGGGAGAACTTGTCCAAGGGCTATGCGCCATGCTGCTGGGGGTTGTATATGAGTTCTCTACCAAGGACTCGCCCATACCACGAGCAACGCTGCATTCCATCTTGGAGTCACGGCTGGACAGGGATGGTTACGTGGATCGACTGACAAAACTTCGGAACCATCCTTTGCTCCGAGAGTTTGAAGTCACACCGCAAAAGCTCATGGCTTCAACAGATGGCGAAGAGGTCAACGTGTTCTTTGACGATGTTTTTGTCGATTTCTTCAAGGATAACTTCAGCCGTGCAATCCGCGCTCTTGATAAAGCGCCCGATATTGAGGTCTCGGTCATCACGAATGGTACGGAGCAGGGTATTTCCAGACAGCTCGTAGACTCCTTGCGGCAGCAAATAGAGGAAAAAGACCGCGCAATTGAAGAAGCCAACAGCGCCAATAAATCCCTGGAAGGGGTCATTAAGGAGGTGCAGGAGGCACATCGCCGTGCAAAGGAAGATGCCGAGGCCACGAGCGCGAGATTGATGGCAGAGATGCGGTATGTTTTGAAGCTTTCCGAAAACGAATCCTTTGTAACGGCCAGCTGAAACGGGTATACAGCAAACTACAAGGCGAGCAGGCTGCTACAGTCTCCGGGCTTGAACAAAAGATTGCGCAGATGCAACAGCAGCTCAATGCGAAAGATCAGCACCTCCAAACCCAGCTTGCTGCTAAGGATCAGTATCTGCAAACCCAGCTGAGTAGCAAAGACCAGTACCTGCAAGCCCAGCTAAGCCAAGCTCAAAAGGCGCACGAAGTAGAAGCAGAGCGTGCGAAGCAGAGGGCGGAAGCTGAAATTGCAGACTTGCGAGCAACTGTTAGCAGGCTTGAGGTCGACGTGATGAAGGTGAGTGAACACAACGGGCGACTTTTGGACGTCAGGTTGCTATGTTATGACCAGATCAACTAACTGGCGCTCTTTCTAGGCCAACAAGAGCAAGGCTTCTGAACTACAGACCCTTCGCAAGGAGCATGCAGACGCGCTGGCGGAGCGCGACTCCCAGTTGAAGAAGGCCAACGAGAAGGCGGAAGAAGGCGCAAAGCAGCTCACCAGTTTGAAAGAAGAGGTCGAGAAGCTGAGAAAGGAGGCTGACAAACTTCGGGAGGAGGCTGAGAAGCTACGGGAGGAAGAAGAGGAGAGTCGGACAGAGGCCGAGAAGCGACAAAAAGAAGTTGAAAAGTTACAAGCCGAGGCTGACAAGCTGCGGCAGGAAGCTGCAAAGGTGAGAAACGAGATCAACTCTTTGGCTAACGGGACATTGCTGACGCTCAACCTCAGTCAAAGCAAGCCTTGGCGGATGCTGAAAAGGCCAAGGACACGGTACAGTCGGAGCTGGACGATCTCCTCATGGTGTTTGGCGATTTGGAGGAGAAGCTCGGGAAGTACAAGGTAGGCAATCTGGCTCATTATATAGCCCATCCTCGCACAAGAAAAAGACATAATAAGATGCTAATGCAGAGTTCCATTAGGCTCGTTTGCGTGGACTTGGACAAGAGGTGTCCGATGGCGAAGATGATGACGGGGACGATGGCAGTGAGGGAGAGGAAGAAAGTGAAGACGAAGAGGACGATAAAGCTGTTGACTGATTCTGGAGCACTTGAGATGGGGGTGTCAGAGCCTGTGCAGCACTGCAACAGTATTGACCGCCTTGTAGCGGGGGAGCCATTGTCCGTAAAAACCAATGAAAATAGAAGAAGAGAAAAAAAATCAAGTCACCATCACAAAGATGCCATTCACGAATGCAATCGTTGATGTTGGTGTTGGTGTTGACGTTGAGATGCAGGCCCGGCAGTAATGGGTGCGAACGAGGTTGAGTGAAGTAACAATATATAAAGGGGTTTAGAACAAAAACAAATTGGAGTGGGACCTCCCATCGAACTCACCTCTTGCCTTTTACCAGATGTGACCGTGGGATTGGCCCAACAGACTCCATTTCAATAATCTTTGGCACTTCCTCATCTGGAGCTTCCAGGTTCGAACGCGACTTGAGGATTTTTTCTCAAATCATTTTTTTTTCTTTCTTTTTTGCTCAACTATTGTTTTTCTCGACTTTAAGATAGCAGCAATAACAAGAAATGCTTAGCTTTTTCTCTTTTTCAAGAGTGTTCATTCTTTGATTTGATTTTTGTTGTTTTGGTATCTGCTGGCCTACTTTATCCATGATGGAGAGAATTCCGCTGTGTGGAGCTTTTGCCGCCTTCCAGGGAAGATCAAGCACCAAACGAATACCTGACACACACTAAAAAGGTTTGATGTGTACCTTTTCAAAGGCAATAGCTACCCCAAACAAGGCCGTTTGCAGCTTGGCTTTAATGTACTGTTTCTGGTTGAAAAGTAGCGTCCTCACTTGTCTTGTAATTGGTTCGTACCTTGATGTCCCGGCGGCAGTTACACTAAGAAAAAATATGAAAAAGATGTTATAAATTTCCAGATTCATGAAAAAGGCAGCAAAAACAACTGACCAGCCAGCAGTGAGGTAATCGTATAAACGATTGTCGTTGTTTGTGTTTTAAAAGACAAGAGAAAGAAGGGAGAGAAGAAGAGAAAGCAAAGAGAAACAGAAACCCTCATACAAAATGAGTGCAGGATCAGTATCAGGATCCTCATCCGCCTCGAGCAACGTCTCAGACGAAGGCGAATGGCTCGACATTGAAAACGACGAGGAGGCCATCCCCGTCATCTCCCTCTTCGACGCCCAGAGAACCTTCCCCAGCTGGCCGGAGATGCTCGAGAGCTGCAAAGCGGAGCACGGCTTCGACCTCATCGCCGCCATCAAGAACCTGCAGCTCGACTTCCACGGCGCCGTCAAGCTCGTCAACTTCATCCGCAGCCGCGTCCGGGACGGGCAGCCCGTGCCCAAGGACAGGGACCTGACGCTGGCCGACTTTGAGGACGACGCCTACTTCAAGCCCGTGCTGGACAATGACGCCCTCATCGTCTCGCTGGATGAGATTCTCGACAGTGACCTCGTCAAGGCGGACAGCGGCAGTGCTGCTGCTGCTGCTGCTGCTGCGGGCCAGCTGGACGACGGATCTCGGGAAAAGGAGCTGTTGACGCAGAAGCAGGCGCTCGAGGCCGAGTTGGAGTCCGTCCGGACGCAGTTCTCAAACTACCGGCTGGCCGTGCAGGAGACGCTGGATCGTCGCTGGGGAGATGACGAGGAACAGAGCCCGGCCAAGGGCAAGGCCGGCAGCGGCGAGGACCGCAGCAACTACTATTTCGAATCTTACGCCTACAACGGTAAGCGCTTCGCTCTTTTGGCTTATGTTGGATGGTGTATTTGGTGGGAGATACTGATCAGCGTGAACAGATATCCACGAGACTATGCTCAAGGACACGGTCAGGACGGAGGCCTACCGTGACTTCATCTACAACAACAAGCACATCTTCAAGGGCAAAGTCGTGCTCGATATTGGCTGCGGCACAGGTGAGATATACTCTTTGCTGGATTGGTGCATTCAGCCTCGCTGAGCTTCCCTCAACCTAACCCAACCGTTCTCCGTAGGCATTCTGAGCATGTTCTGCGCCAAAGCCGGCGCAGCTCGCGTCATTGCTGTCGACAAGTCAGACATTATCAAGAAGGCAACTGAAAACATCTTCAACAACGGCCTCTCCGACATCATCACCTGCGTCAAGGGCGGTATCGAAGACGTCAAGCTGCCCGTCGACCAGGTCGACATCATCGTCAGTGAGTGGATGGGCTACTGCCTGCTGTACGAGGCCATGCTTCCCAGCGTTCTCTATGCCAGAGACAAATACCTCAAGCCTGATGGCCTGCTGGTTCCCAGCTCCGCCACTCTGTGGATGGCGCCCGTCCAGGACACCGACTACGTGATGGAACACATTTCTTATTGGAGAGACGTCTATGGTTTCGATATGAAAGCTATGCAAGAAGGTATCTATGATGAGGTCAGAGTCGAGGCGGTCCCCAAGAGCACCCTGAGCGGAGAGCCATACCCCTTCAAGGTCCTCGACCTCCACACGGTCAAGCCCGAGGAGCTTTCGTTCACAGCCAAGTGGGAGTCACGGCTGTCGCGACCTTCAGAGGGCTTGGACGGCTTCCTCATCTGGTTCGACAACTTCTTCGCCACTTCTAGGGACGAGCCCGTGCCCGAGCCCTTCACGACTCCCGAAGACTTCGTAAAGGCGAAGCCGGGCAACGTCGCATTCACGACCGGTCCTTCCGGCACCGTGACCCATTGGAAGCAAGGCCTGCTTTTGGTACCCCGAGAGTCCACTCCGTCCAAGCTGCCAGAAACAATATCTGGGCAAGTCACCTTTGCAGCCCTCGAGGAGAATGCAAGAGCATTGAGGATCGATGTCACATGCTCTTTCGAAAGTCAACCTACCGCAAGCCAAGAGAAGAAATGGTCCTGGAAGTTGGACTAGCGGGCAGTCTCGAAGCATTGACTGGCCCTGGAGGAAATCGTAAAATAGGGGGGAAAGAGCCCGCATGTTGCTAGTAGTGAGGTACTTTCAGTGCCTGTAGCCATAGATTCACAATGCTGAGAAATCCTTCTCCTAGGATAAAGCCCTGGGTCACAACATAATGTCAGCGAGCGTCTTTCGTATCATATGTGAGGCTCTTACCGATGCAACGATGATGAGAGGCGTAGTTGACTGTTTTCGTATACTCAGCCAATACCAGCTGATGATGCCTCCAATAGCTCGAGCGAGTGTAAAGGACGGCACGTTGTACATGCCTTGATTCACGAATTAGACAATTTCCCCCGTAGAGGCGTGGCCGAGGTTCTGCTTACCGACTGCGACGGCAATGCCGCCGGGTATCCAAGAGCGCCATGGCCTTCCAACCGACAAAGTCCGGGCAAGGGTCGTGACGGCAAAGAGAACACCGGCTCCCGTTGCCCACTCCTTGGCCATATATGGCAAACCCTGCCCTGTGACGAGCCTGGCTGTGAATATCCAGACGTATGCCGTAGGAACCTGGAACAATTTGCCGGGAATCTCATATACCCTGTCACCAATAACCAGCACGATTAGCACACACTCATCCGAAGCAACCGGGCCAAGGGCCGCCGAGTCCATCACTGACTGGCGTGGACACACTTACGCTGTGTAGATGTGATACGCAAAAGCACTGAACACAGCGCCAAAAGTAGCGCCAATGATCTGTCCCCAGAATTGTGCCTTGGGAGCAGCGCCAAGGAGGTGGCCGGTCTTGAGATCTTGCATCAGGTCTCCCGCCTGCAATGCGCCCTATTGTTAAAGTTAGGAGATACGGTTCGATATATCAAGTTCTTCCTGTGTAGAACTTACGGCTTCTGACTAAATAACAACCCATTGTTAGCCAAAGTAGATGGGACGGTCGAAGGCTTAAAAGGGGAGAGTATACATACGATAGCACCGGCAACCAAGTTGATGAGAACGCTGGACTTGTGACCCTGCGGAATAATGAGAGCGAAAAACAGCTGCGCCAGTTTGCTAATGCCGGACACGGGGTTAAGGTCAGTCTCTCCAAGGGCTCTCACACCCATGATGCTCAGGACCAGGGCCATGAGAACGGCAATAACAATGGCGTAAAGTGGCACCAGGTCGCCAAACACGATTCGGGTAGCTAGAACGCAGACCAGAACGGATGCGAGGAGTCCCCACGAGACGATTTTGCTGTTAACCTGCTGCTCGACTGGGGCATCATCCAGGCCACGATTGTCCTCTTCGGCGAGGGAGCTCTGATCATCTCGAAGTGTCGAGGACTGGTTCTCCTCTTCCTCTTCGTCTCCTCCTTCTTGAGCAGGAATGGGAGAATACCGATGAGATGACCCAAACAAGGCCGCGATCCTGCTATGTTGGAATCGGCGCTGTAATGCAGATGCCAATCTCACGACGTGGGTTTCAAAAAGGGGGCGAAGAGCAATGTAGGCGAGACTGACAACAGCATCGACAAGCATGATGGCCAGAGACACCCAGACAATCCAGCCTTTGCTGCCATTCTCCCAGTCATCCACTGGTCCGGGAGCCCAGCCCTTCATTTTGGCCAAGGGGCTGAGGATGCCCCAGCCGACGACTGCGCCTAGAGTCATGTGGAGTGTAGTCTCCGTCCCCATGATGATGCCTTGTCCGACATATGCAAGGCTTGGGTTCAATGTCCAAAGCCAGGTAGAGGCCGCGACAGTCCCAAACACAGGGAGATCTCGCAGGATGGGCAGGAAATAGTTGGAGATGGTAAAGATGCCTGAGACCAGGAAGCTGATAAGCAAGAGCCTCATGTTGTATGCCCAGTCCATGTCCTTGGAAACCGGCGACTCCTCCTCTTCCGCAACAGAGCCGCCGTCATCGACCAGCATAGGATCATCGTCTTTGGGCACAAGGCTGGCAAACCCGCCTTTAGCAGCGGCATCAAGCTCCTGAGGAGAAGAGCTTTTCCCTTGACTATGGAGAACGCGGATAAGCACCGCAGTGCTGAAGCCGCTGGGGAACCGGAGTCGCTCTCTGATGATGACCTGATGGCGCCTGGAAGATCATACGAACAAAGCCGTCTCAGCCAACTCGCACTAACACTGGAGTTTGTCGTATCAAGACCACTTACAAGGGAACAGCAAAGACAACTCCGAAATAGCAGAGACCTAGGGACCATATGATGAGCTGCCATGTACTCAAGGACAACGGCCCTTGCTCATCAGCCCCCAGGAGGTAGTTCATCGCTGGAATCTACAAGTCATCGAAATGAGTAAATTTGACGAGCGGCAGAGCAAGAGCTTCAAAGGGGGACGCCTACAACACCGACAAAGCCACAGCCCAGCGGCATAATGGCCATGCCGCCAGCAACGCTCTGCACCAGCACGTTCTCGACCGGGCTGAAGGGGAATCGCAGGTAAGGCTTCAGCAGCTTGAAGACGGCGAATCCCATGAGACTCGAGGGCATCGACATGATGGAGACCCAGCCGGTCTGCAGGCCGAAATACATGTTGGCGGCGCATATCACGGTTCCAACACCAAGGCCGGCAGCGACACCGCGGACGGTGAAGCTGCGCCCTTGCGGGGACGGAGACGTCATTATCAGAGCTTCTTTGACGCCGTGTGCATCGGACCAGGAGACTCTCTGTTAGTGGATGGGCTTCGATCAATCAGCGGCGACGTGGGCGAAACGACGGTGATGCTGACGATTTTGGTGTATCTATCATCGACCTGACTTGTAAGCTCGCGGGAAGCTCTGTCCGTGAGCTTTATATAAGGGGACTGACTGGCTGACTGCTCATGTCTCAGTGGCTTCCGGACATTCGCATTACTAATCCAAGCATATAAGCGCGTCTCTCAAGGGCCCGGACAGGCAGGAACTCCCGAATATCAATCAAGCATGCCTCCGGGGCCTGGATTATATGATTTTCCTGCTTCAATGAAGCTCATCACAATAAAGCATCTCTTGTTACTATTTTCAAGGCTTCCCGAGGAGCTGCTACTATTCGCGCTAATGTGTTGAGCTTCCAGACGAACACGGACCTACCCGTGATCCAAGGCCCTGTCATGGCGCTTCATCCGGACTGTGTCGGCCATTCCAAGCTTGGTTCTGCCAGACAACTGGAGCCTGAAGTAGTAGAAATACAGTGGTATTGGCTGCTTTGAAGTGAGGTAGGTTGGCTGTATCGGAAGTTATATGTATGACCCTCGAGTATTCTACCAAAACGCCCAGCACGAACCCATATCGGCTCTCGGTATATCCTGTATGCAATTGTTGGCAAGACGTTTACTGGTCCTTCTTGTCCTGGCCTTGGCCGTCTTCTACCCTCTTCAAGTACGGGATTGAAGTCAAGACCCTCGGCCAAACGAGGACGTAGTTGCTGTCTTGACCCGCAAGACAATGCCGCAACCAGGTCCCCCAGGTAATGTAATAGTACGCTGGAAACAGTCGTCAGCAGGCGCAAACACACAAACACAAACACGTCTAGGGTCCTATGTATGCCCACGGTTGGGCCAAAAGTAAGGTACCAATCCCGAAAAGGAAGTGAATTGCCAGATCCAGACGAGAAGAGGGAAAAGAAGCAAAATTGGAAAGGGAGCATTGGGGCAGTCGAGTGTTTACCTCCTAGCAAGCATGTTAGTGACTCCTCAACGAACATTTATAGTGCGAGGGGAATGCTTCACTTACCAAGACCTGTCATAAGGTGCCACCAGGCATGGCCTTCGAGCAACACGGCCCAGGGAAGACCAACAGCATGTCTCAACTGTCGCACCTGGGAGCAAAAGACATTATCGAGATTCCAAATCAGGAATCCCCCAAGAAAGACGCTGAGTCCTGTTCCAAACGGTCAGCTGGGCTTCGCGAGCTCGCGCACTTGATCGATTCGACGAACCCGTAGCTATCATGGCCCACATTGTATTCAGCACATTGGCCGCCTTCTCTGGATTGCGAGCAGTCAACACAGGTCGTAGCTGCGACTCCATCACCCACATGCTCCGGAAGACAACCGTGGCTGTTAGAATAGCATAGGCGACCTGGTGGAAGATAGGATCCTTCGTGACGTGGTAATAAACCTGAGCCTCTCTTAGTCGGTCGATTCGGAAGTAGGGTGCATAAAATACGCAACACTCACCGTGATCGAACCGGCAAGCGAAAGGAGGCCTATTCCCAAGGTTGCTGAGAATGCTCGCGATCGCTCGTATGCAAAGCTGGCGTGCATCATCAGGCAGGTAGTATATATCATGGACAGCTCATCGACCAGTTGCATCGGATCTCCATGCGTCATCTGTTAGTTCTTCCACTTGAATGCTTCTTGGTGGTATCACCACGGCAGCAATGCTTACACTTCAACGTCATATGGAAGAGGATGGAGCCCAGTCCTACCACCATGTAGCCAAGGTAAGAGATCAAGAATATCGACGGATGTTTCTCTTGCAGACAGTTCACGACCCCTGTTATCCCAAGCCACAGGAAAAGGGCGTTTGTCACTGTCTGCTGTTCAGTCAACAGAGAGAACGGTTTGATAGGGTAACTCATGACCAATACTGACATTACAGAACTCAGCGCAGTACGAAGTCAATGCATAATCCTTGGGTTATTCAGCACAGTTCTTCAGAGACGACACAAATATCCGTAGCCGGGTTCAGCTCACCTCTTCGCAAAAGTTGAGCGTTGACGTCTGTTCTCCCCAGAATCCATGGCCGGGATTGGCGGTTGGATACGGGTATGAGATGGCCGTACGCAAAGCGGAGAGGGTCATTTTGATGACGATGCTCAGCAGCCCAGAGAGTTCAACAATAGACGATAGTATGGAAAGGAAGGATGTCTAGAGCATGAATAATCCAAGAGAGAGAAAATGCCTCTTTGATAGAACATGAAAATGGCAATTATATAGAACAAGAAAGATGGAGAGAGAGGCTTGGAGCCTTTCACAAGATCCCGTGCTTCCCGCCGTCTTCGATCCTGGTGGGGCCGGGCGCTGGAACTCGGCGGCTTGCTCGTACTGAGAACCTCGGGTATGCTTCAGTGCTCGGAACAGACACAGGTATCCGGTACCTCCAGCCCGTTCCTGTTGTTCGTGACGCATGCGCCCTGCCAGTGAGGTTTAGGTGCAAATCCGCTAGCCGCTCAGGTCACGTCCCGACCTGGAAGTCAGCGGCAGGCATTATTGTTCTGCGCTGGCAATCCAACGCTTTTCCATGGCCGCGCCGTTCGCGCCCAATGACGTGAAATCCTCCTTGTCGCGATGCTCTGATGATGGATTAATGCCAAAGAGAGTGTTCAACAACCTCGAGTGAGTCGGCGCCTGACACAAGCGACTCGCGTCCACCTTGAATAGTCACTCACGAGCATGTCTGCAGTGGCATCTGTGCAATCTCCATACGACGATGGCTCTGCGCCTGACAGCGTTCGCGCATCCCCCAGTCGCGGTCTTCCGGGCCAGGAGCCCTACTACTCTAATCGAGGTATGGCGCTGCATCACGGCTCGTCCATGTCTGCTCGTGGGTTAACAGTCTAGACATTGCTGTGCTGCACGCGATCATCACAGCCGCCCAGGAGCACCTCGACAATGCGCCCGGCCCGAAACCACTGCCCGCCGCTGCGCTGTTCAAAGCCTACGACGAAATCCTCCCTCAGCACGGCATCGATCCCGAGTCCGACCATCATCTCTCTGCTCTTGTGTTCAGGGTCGGCGGCGAGCAGGGTGGTGGCAGCTTACTGGACAAGTTTCAGTCAATCCTCGGCCGCATAGGCATCGTTCTCGAATTCAGCGACGACTCTACTACTTCTCCCGAAGGCTATGCCGAGCATCCTCTGTCTCCGGAGCCGTTGGACACTCATCGCTGGTACCCCGACGACCTCCCTATCGACGAGGAGGAAGACGTTCCTCCAAAGAGACCCCGGGCCTACAGCGCGACTTCCTTGGGAACCGACTCCGCTCCTCAAAAGATTCAGACCCAAGAGCCAAGCAGCAAGAAGGATTACCAAGCGAGAGTTGATCACCCTCCCACTCAGACCGACCCAAAGGCATACCCCTCGGCCCAGATCTCCTCGACTGAAACACGACATGTTGATCCCTATCATCATTACCCTAGTCCGCTCTTCGATCACTTACCCATTGATCTCGATGCTCCGGACGATGACCCCAAGGCACGCCTTTTGAGGCCGCAAACCGACATCTCCCTCCGTTCAGCAGAAAGGAAGCCCGAACAAGATATTCAGACTCTGGACCAGCCACCGGGACGCGTCAAGGACCACGACCAGAATCAGTTCAGCGATATCGACGACGATGAGAAAGTTGCCCAGGAGGCTGCGAGACAACAGAAGCGGAATACCCCGAAGAAGACAGTAGAGACGAACAGGCACAATGGCAAGATTGACGAGGACGACGACCTTGCGCAATTCCCCCACTACATACCCAATGAAGCCCAGCCGGCAGCGCAGTCAGTACGGGATGAGCCTCCAGTGTCAGTCCAGTTCGAAAACGAGCATACCTTTTCGCGCTTGCATGAGGAGCGGCTGCTCACAAGAGCGACACGAGCTCGAGAGATCTACTTGGCAAGCAAGGTGTTCAACCACTGGGCAGACCGCACCGCAGGGCGACTTGAGCGGGAAGGCGTAGCTAGAAGACACATGATTCGCTTTCGCTGTTTCCAGGGCTGGAGCTGTGCGCCGAGTCTGCGATATCCCGTCATCGAGAACCTCAAAGCCCTGACGGCAGTGCAGAAGCTACACCGCGCTATAACGTATCAACAAGAGCAACTGGGACTGGCAGCAGCAGCAATCGCACAGAGGCACCGTGCTCGGGTCGCATCGCGCGTCTGTGACCAATGGTGCTCACACTTGATCGCACACGCCTACCGGCGCAAGGTGGAGAAGAAGTCAAAGCAACGGGCCCTGTTGGCATGGAGAGTGAGCACCTCGAGCAACCTCGTCAAGACCCAAGCCATAAGCAGGTTCAATCGACGCGAGGGAGTTATCAACGCACTATCAAAACTGCAAGACCACACCATAACCAACAATCGTCAGCTTCATGCAGCTAGGCAACTCGGGTCACTGCAGCTGCTATTCGGTTATCTTACGGAATGGAGAGATCAGGTTCAGGTCAGAGCGCAATCATCTGCCTGTCGTGACAGGCTGTTGACTGCAACAGTTGGTCGGACGTTGCAGAATTGGAAGCTGTCATCGCGAGTGCAGGCAGTTCGATGGAGGGCAGACTTCATATCAGTGACGCGCGCCCTTGGAAGCTGGCGAAGACACTACATGCAAGAGGAGTGGCGGCGAAACTTGTCTGCAAACCACCTCAAGTCATACCAGGCATCAAAACTCATAGGCGCCCTACAGCGGTCCAGCAGCATCGAGGCGCAGCGGTCACATCTTAGCAATCGAGCCAGGCTGTTTATTGTCACCACGCGGGTGCTGCCCATCATGGACTCGGCTGTTCAAGCACGGAAAAGCCAGATGAAGGAGATGATCAGACAGTACTTGATGATGAGATATACGCAGGTCTCCTCTGCTCGCAAGCGGCGAAAATTCTACGAGGCTTTGGATCACTGGCGAGCCATGGCAGCCCAGGCGACCTCGGAAAGCGACGTTGTCACCATGTACAATGCAAAGTACTACTATGGCCAGGCTGAGCTCGCTCTCACGAAGTGGAGGGCGCGTACCGAAGAAGATCTCGAGGCTCAACTGGCTGCCTATAAACATTATGCGCAAACCATCCTGGCGACCTGGGGCGACATTGCCAAGGAGCGTGAGCGGATGGAGATGCAATCCCTGGAGCTGTGGGCTGCCCGCAGGCAACGACAGTACCTCAAGGCGTGGTCGATATCGTCGTTGCAACGCAGCGGACAGGCCCATACCGCGACAAAGGTGCAGCAGAAGAAATACAGCGAAAAGAGAAATCGCACATTCCATCACTGGAGGGAGGTTTGCTTGGGCGGAGATGTGGCTCGGTCGGAGCAAGACTTGAGGTTCACCCCAAGAGCCGACCCCCCAAGCGGCCGTCGCGGCGGGTGGCGGACACATTCTGTTCGTCGACAACTGTTGGTGGACAGGCACTACAACAAGCAGGATGTCACTGCTAAGCAGCTTGAAACGCCAACGCGCTGGACTGGCATGCCGCTGAACATGTCCCTCCCTTTATCAGCCAAGCCACTGGCCTCATGGCGAGAAATCGACGAGGAGTCGGCCACCTCCAGTGATACCGAGGATGTCGGGATGCAAAAGTCTCCAAGCAAGCCGCCCTCTAATACAGGGCGCATTACTCTACCATCCACGACTCCCCGAGGCCCGGTGCCCGTGCGCTTGAACCTCAAGGCCATGCGAGCAGGCACGTCCCCCCAGCGTTGGAGCAGTATCGACGCTACTTCGAAAGCTCAACCAAGCCCAGCCCAAGACACCTCTCGTACACCACACTCAACCCCTGGACCAATTCCAAAGCCGAACTTTGGCAGTTCGGTGGGTGCACTTGGCCGCTCTATCCAAGTCCTGTCGGAATCGCGGAAGCGACCAGCAACGGCTCCGAGACAGCCGAGTAGCCGAGCAATACCTTAGTGTGAGCAGCGCTCAAGAGCAGAGGCAGCTACAAGATTCAGTTTCGGCCGACAAGCAGGGCCTTGCCAAGTTTGGTGACATACAAAGCTTGCAAGTTTCATGACGGTAACAACTGTGACGGCTACGCATCAACACGAACCATCAAGGTCACTATCAAGATAGATCTAATGGAATGCCTCTGTATCTCATGAGCTATACGGCTGTTGATGGCTTTGCTACTTGACGGACTCTGTCTCCAATGTGAAGTGACTGGGCCATCCTCACGGAATAAGTAGTGTTGTTCTGTATCAGGGATGTTCTATTAGAGTTTAAACAAAGATCCATCTAATGGAAATTATATATTGTCATACTATGTAATAGGATCAAAGTGTATAATGCCTACTTCGCGAGTATCGTTTCAGGATCTCGTACGATGTTTCTCGGTGTGATTAGTCATCGGCCTAGTAGTAGGTAGAGTGCTGTTCCTTTTTTTGTGCAACGCCACTAGCCTACTTCGTCATACCGCCCTACTACTAGTAGAGCTACGACGCGTGCTGCCGCAAAGACGCGGTTATCATTCTGCCAATTCATTTTCACGCCATCAAGTGTGAGATTCTGCTCATCTGCGTCTATCTTGCCTATCTTTTTCCCATATCCAACTCATCTTTCTCTGTTTCTTGAGATGCATTCATCAACAAGGAGCTGTTAGACAGAATAAAAGAAGGAGAGAGAGCGGAACGGAACAAAAAAAATCGAAAAGGCTACCGGCCATAGCCGCTACCAAAGAGAGCTATCTACGTCATGGAGCAGCTTCAACGCATCCGCAGCATGTGGCAGTTCGCCAACTTGTGCCAATGGATATACATTTTTGGTGATGCTGCCTCAATTGACGATTCGGTCGATGTTGATGTGAGCACAGACTTCTTTTCCTACTTCCCTCGCGAGCGCATCCTGACCATTGGCTCAGTATATCGAGACGGAGTGTCTCAAGCCGAACTCACCGGGACTCAACGATATTGCCTTGGCCCTCTTGAAGCTGGTCTCTTCACAGCGCGGCCTCACGTATGTATTGCGGCTCTCGACAGCTTATCTTGTCTTTTTCTTTTCTTTCCCAAGAGCAGGACTAACGGCCGCTGCCTCGTTGAAGCCATGCATCATTCGACGACCAAGCTCGAAAACAGTACCTGCTGAAGTCGCCAGACACCAATCCTTTCGGCGACGATGACGCTCCCAAGGCTTTTGCTGAGTTCGACGTGTTTAGCAAGGTAAACCTCAACTCGAGCTCGAATCTCTACGCGGTATCGTCATTGACCATATCTGATAGATTCGAGTGATGCAACAATTCACGCAATGGGCCATGATTCGGCCGGAAGTGCTTCGGGAGAAGATGAAGGAACAAAAGGATACAGAGCAAACGAGCTGGGTGCGTATCGTTTCCTTTCACGATTTGTACTGTACATTTTCTGATCGACGTTGCAGCGGATTGAACCCTACGGCTGGGATAGCGAAGACCGCACCTACTACGTTCTCGACGACAATCGAGTATACCGTTTATCAGAGGCGCCTCCACGCCAGAAACCGGCTCCCTCCAAGTCCAGCCGTCAGTCTCGACGTACGGGGAAAAGGCGACGTGTATCTGAACCGGACGATGCCGCGAACGACTCCCTCAATGATGCTCCCAAAGAAGGGTCGGAATTGGATTACGAGGACACCCATTTGGGGGACATGGCCTGGGAGTGCGTGGCCGTGACTCTTCCAGAAGTCCAGGCGCTTGTTGAAAGCATGGCCAAATCAAGAGACGAAAACGAGAAGATACTCCGAAGACAGCTGCGAGATCATCTGGTGCCTATTCTGGAGAAACAGGAACAGGAACGAATCCGCCGGGAGCTGAGGCGCGAGAAGGAGCTGGCAACGCTCGCCAAGATGGCCCATGCTAAACGATCAAGTCGGATTGCTTCCAAGGCGGAGCTGAGAGAGCAGCAAGAGAAGGCAAGGATCGAACAAGAGCAGCTCAGAGAAGCAGCCGCTATCCAACGCCGGGAGGAGCAGAAAAGAATCAAGATGCAGAGAGAGCTCGAAATGAGGCTCGTTTCCAGAGAGCAACGTCTGAAGGAAAGAGAGGAACGCCGCGCCCGTCGTGGCGAAAGCGGCACCCCGGCATCAGTAGGTGAAGGTAGCGAGGTTACAGTGGCAGATCGACCTACCAATGGCGAAAATGGCCGTGACCTTCAGGGCAAGCAGGAGGAAGAGGAAGGGTGGGTATTTGATTGCTCGTGTGGCCTGTATGGGCAGGTCGACGATGGCAACCACAGCGTCGCTTGCGAGAGCTGTAACGTATGGCAGCACAGCAAGTGCCTCGGGATCAGCGAGGCTGCTGCGGACCACCCAGACTTTCATTTCATCTGTGCCTCTTGTCGTCAAAAGAACCCTCCTGACGCGGCACCAAAGAGCAAGAGTCCTGCTGCATCGGAGAACCCTCCTGCATCAAAGAAACTCCCGGCGTCAGAGAACCCTCTGGCAGCAGAGAACCCTCCTGCACCGGAGAACCATCTCGCAACGGAGATCCATCCTGCATCAGGGAACCGTGCGGTATCACAGATCCCTTCGGCATCGGAAAACCTTGCGGCAGCAGAAAACCCTCTTGCATCAGAGAACCGTCTGGCATCAGAGAACCGTCTGGCATCAGAGAACCGTCTGGCATCAGAGAACCCTCCTGCACCAGAGAGTTCGCCTGTGCCCAAACTCGACGTTGCCGATAACGCCAAGCCTGCCACTGCCCCCCTCCAGAGGGGATAGGTATGAAAGACCAAGCACGTCTCTACTAGTTTACGCCCAGTCCGAAACAAACTATCTAAGAAGCAAACTTAACCGTCATATCACTTACTGGCTGCCTAGCCGCTCAGCCATGAGTTCCCGTTATTCCAACACAATCCCAGGGACACGTCAAGACGACGCAATCTCTCTCTCACACTCAACTCTAGCATACATGCGTACGGCAGCCAAGACTGCTCACCAACGCGAGTAAATTTGTACTGAGGACCCAGCATTTGCGTCCGTCATTTTATCTCACGAACCGGTAACTATCTTCCACTGAACAACTCACAAACATCAGCTGATCGTCGTCCCCAATGCCCTAGCCGTGATAGCCTCCCACTTTTGTAAATACATCTGGTCAAGTACACAACTGGCATACTCCGAAATGGTATTTTTAGACTCATGATACGGTTGCAAAACTTGGAAACGCAGCGAATCAGGATGCCGCTACTTTGCTTCGCAGGAGGAAGTCGAGTTTCACCCACTGCTGTTAGTTGTGAGCTTAGTTGCTCACAACAAAGGCAGAGGATGAACAGAAACGGAAACTCTCACGCTTTCAAAGCCGCCTTGTCTTTTCCTCTGGACGGTCATTGACAGACCCTTGTCCGTTCACTTGACCCATTGGACACTCTCCATTGGCTGGAGCGTCGACTGCGTTGGGAACGTCATCTTTCACCTGTTGATCTGCCTGAATCGCAGCATACGTTGGGACGACACCATCGAGCACCTCGACTCTACTATTCCACGTGTATCTATCTACCTATCTGTCTACGTCTCTACCAAAAGCAATCACTGGTCATTTCTGTCTCTCATTTTATCCATGCGTGTCTCCACTCCACTCATCTGCGGGTAGAAGAAGTTTGATTGGGAACAACCCACGATATGCAGCACCAGCTGAGGCGCACTCGTCTATCGGTGCGTCAAATGGCGATATGCAAGGGCCCGGCTTTGCTTGACAAGCCATGACTCCCCCCAAAGTACTGGATGGGCCAATGAAGTTGTCCCTTCCAGAGCGATGGCGATACTGTCGACCGGATGAGCTGCATTCGAGCAACCACGGGGCCGCACGGCCAACAGGTTGTTATTGGGGAGCATTCCAACTGGTGCAGCGCTTCGAAACTGCCCTGTGCGCTTGACAGACCCTTGCCACATACGCACTCGTCGTTCCCTCTTCTGAGCTTGGCTGCGTGTCACTGTGTCCTCAGTCTGTCGTTTTGGGCCATCTGCAACTGGGTTTGGGCCTTGGGGTTGTCGCAGCGTCCACGGGGTGGTCCAAGAGGCCAGGGGAAACGAAGGCTGCCATATTCCCAATACCGCATGCGGCAGAAGCTTTGATGCTCGTTTGTTTGTAGCCCTTCACGTGGAAGTCATGTGTCAGGGACGAAGCTGTCCATCGCAGAATGGGGGTGCGGGAGAGGGTAGGTCGTCAAAGAGCCTTACTCTGGGGTACAAAGACAACAAGCCATCTCTTCTATCAAGTCGAAATGTCATTTAATGCATCTATCCCGGCGATCCTCGATAGAAGCGTTCTACCGTCAAAGAGAATCGAAGTCGACTTTTATGTGCCTTTCCAAACGTTCTCCTTTTCAAACTTTTTCGGCATCACTTGTTACGCCAGACTTGGACAACCTGACCATTTCAAACCCAGCATCCCCAAAAACCGCTTTTCGCATCGACTTCTGCCCACCGGACGTCTCGATGGAGCTCATCAAGCGGGAATATGGCGTTGCAAAGCCAGCAATCCTGCGTAGTCACTCTGCCTTTGCCGAGGGAAACAACTCGACACTTGCCCCAGTTCCCGGCTATTCCTTTCCAAACCAAGGCTTTGTTTCGGTGAGTTTCACCTTTGAGTTTCAAACTTTCCTTCAAGGTGGAATGCTAATAGCTTCCAGCCTCCCCATGAACAGAACATCCTCCAGAACACTTCGCGGTATGGGTTGGAGACATCCCCCCTGGACTTCTCAAGCGTCAGTCTTGTGAGACGCCCGCGGACACGTTCCAAGTCAGCGAGACCGAGCAGCTCTCGGAGTCGGTCGAGATGTCTCCCGAGCAAGGATCGTAAGACAGGGAGGAGGACGCGAAACTCGGATGGAAAAGACAGCAGCAGCTCTCTCACTCGACCGCTCTCGGTGATTGCAGGCGAACTGCCTCACTGTCTTGTTCCCGACGCCGCTGCCTTTGCAACCCGCACAATCAAGCAACGAGTGGAGGAATACAATCATTCCGGAAAGATCAAGCGCCCCCTCAACGCCTTCATGCTGTACCGCAGGTCGTATCAGAACATTGCCAAGGCATATTGCAGCAGGGACAATCATCAGCAAGTGTCGGCAATCTGCGGGCTTTCGTGGAGGAACTTGGAGCAACCGGAAGTCAAGCTCGCGTTCAAGGACCTAGCTGACGTTGAGAGGAGGAAGCATGGTGAAGCTTTTCCGGAATACAAGTACGACCCTCTGCATTCGAAGAAGGGGGAGGGCAGGAATTCGCCCCTTTCTCTCCCGACCCCGGACGGCAGCGACGTTGAACTCGTCAGCGGCCATGGTTCCGTCGGGGCGAGTGTGGCGAAGCGCAACAGGACGAGTTCGCCAACGTACGATGAGTTCTCACCCTCGGACAATGAGGGATGCCTGAACACAGTCGACGCTCATCAGCCACTCCAGGCCAGGGCCTTTTCGTCTTACCCTTACTGGACTTGTCCCTCTTCGCATGCTTATCCCGCGGTGTATCTCGAGGAACAGCGCACACACGTTGACCCTTTCCCCTCCTTCCAAACATACCCGCCACCATCTGACGACAATCGTTTGGCTTACAGAAGCTCACCACCCGTTGTTTGCGGTCTCTACGGGGAGGCAGCGGACCATAGTGTCGGTTATGCGGAGATCTTCATCGACCCTTCACTTCTACCGTGCCAGCCCAGCATGGTGTACGACATCTCCGGCTGCTCGGTTGCATTTCAAGGGCAGTGGCATCCCCTGGCCGTCGAGAGGTCACGCACGGAAACTACGCTGTCAGAGATGAGTATGCCTGCGTCGACGTATGACGCGTATCTCAGGGGGACTGAGGGAGACTGGGAGGTGGAAGAGTTGGAAGAGCCCAGTCAGTTTGAGGATTGGATGTGCCAGACGGGTGCATAGTGCAAGATGACGAGATGTGTTTTTGGTTTGGTCAGATGCTGTTTGTTTTTGTTGTTTGCTATTTGTTGTGTGTTGTGTTGTGTTGGTCCTGTATCTTGCATAGAAATGGGTTCTGGAAGGCGTTTCTTAGGTAGGGACGGTTTGTACGTTTAGGTAGTTGGATTCGACCCTCGTTGAGTGTATTTTTAGGCCGCAGATATCTAGTGTTTAGTGTGCAGTAGACGGGAAATGAGATGCAGACATGCAGTTGATGATGTTGCAGCTACGGACTCGTACATGCTGTGTTTGATGAGTTGTCCCTCCGTTGGAGAGCTGCAGCATTCCAGCATCGAGGAGAATGAGAGAAGACTGTTGATTGGAAGACGAAACAGAGAAATTGAAGGAGTTGTGAGAGGGACTGAGAAGCTGCAGGTTAGTTCAGGTGTTGGTTTATGACTAGTCGCATGTCTTGCCTATCTGGGAGACTTACATGTTCTCCTATTTATAGTACCTTTGGGAGTTGACTTGGAAGAGCCATCAGAGTCTGGGGCGATAGGCTGCTGACAGAACGTGATTTGAATCATGGCCGGTTTGCTCATGAATCTGCAGTTGATACTGGTGAATGAAGCTAACAAGGAGCTCTCGCGATAATAACTGCAGAGTACACGCAGTGGACTTGACATGTCATGCTTGATTCCACACTGGCCCGGGCAAATCAAGCTAATCTCCACCACAGCCGCACAGGTACTGGGCAGGTACCGCCGTGCCTCGGTGCATCCAGCTGCAGTTGCTTCCAGCGGCGGCCTGTCCTCTGCGAACAATAACAGCTTCTAGATAGTTATACAATTATTCTAGAAGTAGATAAGGGACTAGAATACTATTGAAGGATTCCGAGGTTAACATAATAAAAAGAGAAACAATGTCCAAATTAGACGAGTGAAATGAGAAGTTGAGTGATATTGCAGCTTACTAAGCGAACATATACAAAGTCACCACCAGCACTCTCAGTGAGCGTCTCCCCCCAGAAAGATTGATTGACTGGGCAGTGCTGCAGTGGATCCTCAAGATTGCGGCAGAAGCAACCTGGCGACAGGGGGTCACTCCGTGCTCTGGAACCATCATTACTACCTCAGCACTCAACTTCCGCCCTGCCAACCAACCCTCGCCCATCGCTGCCGCATCGACGGACTATGGAGCACGCTCGCTAGCACTGCTCGGGACTGGCTTGCTCTTTTCGTCACTCAGCTCAGCCCGTTCTCCCACCTGTAATACCTGAACTCGTACATACCTACCTCAGACTCCACGCAAACGAGCTGTGCCGTCCACTCCAGTCCAGTCCAGTCCACCGCGCGTCGGCACCACCATCCGCACCCTCGAGCTGCGTCCATCGGGGACAAACAGACGGCCAAAATGGGCTTCCTGGGCATCTACCGCGCGCTCTACGACTACACGCCCAACGAGGATGCCGAGCTGGCCATCAAGCAGGGCGACCTGCTCTACATCCTCGAGAAGAATGACGACGACGGCTGGTGGAAGGCCAAGAAGAAGGCCGGCACCGATGACGAGGACGAGCCGACGGGCCTGATCCCGAACAACTACGTTGAAAAGGTATGCCGCTCCTCGCCATGCCCTCGTTGGCGCCCCCGTTGGCTGCTCTCGTGGCTCCCTTTTCCCCCCTTCCGTCATTACGTCTCACGGCCCAACGTCGATCCTTGCATCAACCCTCCGCCGTCAGCTATACACAAGTGCTGGCTGAGCCGAGCTTGCCCTGCACACCTCTGCGCACCACCTGCGCGGCCTCACGAGAAAGATGCGCGCATGCTAACTGATGCCCCCCGCGTTTGCAATCAGGCCGAGACCGTGGGCCACGCCCGTGCCATTTACGAGTACACCCGCCAGACCGACGAGGAGCTGTCCTTCCCCGAAGATGCCGCGCTGGAAGTCTTCGACACCAGCGACGAGGATTGGATCCTTGCTGGATACGACGGCGAGTACGGCTTCGTCCCGGCAAACTACATCGAGCTCCAGGCTGCCGCTCCCGCCAGCGCGCCGGCACCCCCAGCAGCCCCGGCGCTACCCCAGCGGCCGACATCTCAGATCACCACCACCGATGACAGCACTCCCCTATCTGAGGATGTGCCCGCTGCCGCCTCCCCCGTCGCCGCCGTTGCTCCGGCCGTTGCCCCGGCCGCCGATCCTGCCGCCGCCATTGCCAACGTTATCCAGAATCGACAATCCACCAAGGAACCCATGACCATAAGATTCAAAGAGCCGGACTTGTCCGATGAAGAATCCATCAGGTCCCCTGCGCTGCCTACGAGGCCTCGCCCACAGTCTCAGGCGTATTCAGTCTCGTCGGAGCCACCCAGACAGCCCGAGCGAACTCCTGAATCCCAGCCCAAAGGACATCTGATCCCCGGCAACTTTCACCTGTACAACATCAACGAGATGGTGTCGGTCATGGGCAAGAAGAAGAAGATGCCAACAACGCTGGGCATCAATCTCTTGACAGGCACTATTCTCATTGCACCCGAGAGAGCTGAAAACGACCCCCCTCAAGAGTGGACTGCCGACAAGATGACCCATTACTCCCGCGAAGGCAAGCACGTCTTCATGGAGCTTGTTCGCCCTAGCAAGAGTATTGACTTTCATGCCGGAGCTAAGGACACTGCAGAAGAAATTGTCGCCTCCCTTGGCGAGCTTGCAGGCGCTGCTCGAGCAGAGGGGATACGGGAAATCATTGCGGCAGGTTCTCAGAAGCGACAAAAGAAGGGAACCATCCTGTATGATTTCATGGCACAGGGCGAGGACGAGGTGACCGTTGCTGCTGGCGATGAGGTGGCCATCATCGATGACACACGGAGCGAGGACTGGTGGCAGGTTCGCCGCTTGAAGAATGGCAAAGAGGGCGTTGTCCCCAGCAGTTACATCGAGTTCTCCGGCACCATCACGCCGCCGTCTGGAGGCCAAATTCCCGCCAAATCGATGGTCGAGCAAAACCGCCTGGAAGAGATACGACTCACCAAGGAAGCAATGAAGGCTAGCAGAGAGTCTCAACAGGTAGGCCTTGGAACGCCTTTGCCTCGAAGAGGTAGCAGTCTCGTAGCTACGGACGATGGTAACACTTTGGGACAACAGCCGCGGCCTCGACGTGAGAATGGACGAAACGACAGTGGCAGCCACTCTGCGAACAAGTCTAGTGAGTTCCCGCCCTATTTGATCTATCTTGACAGAGTGAACAAAAAAAGAAAAAGGACGAGAAGTGCTGACACTTCCATCCAGAACCCGATCCCTCCAAAGTCCGGGTGTGGACGGATCGATCAAAGTCGTTTAGCGTCGAAGCGCAGTTCCTCGGACTCAAAGATGGTAAACTTCACCTTCATAAGATGAACGGCGTCAAGATCGCTGTACCCATAGCCAAGATGTCGCATGAAGACCTCGTGTACGTCGAGAATCTCACTGGCATTTCTCTGGACGATGAGAGACCCCTGGCCGACGTCAAACGATCAAAACCTCCGGAGCAGAAGAAGGCTCCTGCGGTCGGGGCTATTGTGGACAAGGGCCCGACTCGACCCGAGTACGACTGGTTCCAGTTCTTCCTTTCTTGCGATGTCGCTGTGGGTCTCTGTGAGCGTTACGCCCAGGCTTTCACAAGGGATTCGATGGATGAGAGCGTCCTACCAGATGTCGACGCTGGGGTCTTACGGAACCTAGGCTTGCGGGAAGGGGACATCATCAAGGTTATGCGTAACCTGGATGCCAAGTTTGGCCGTGAACGTGGCAACAAGGTCAATGGCGAGGGCGACGGCGGTCTCTTCTCCGGTCCTGGCGGAGCGCTGCGGAATAACACAAGAAAGGGTCGACCCGCCCCTGCGGTCCAGACTGGCGATGTGGTCGACGCCGCCGTGTTCGCGACCAAGGATGGAAACAGCACTGCCGAAACAGCCGCGAAGGCAGCGTCTCCTCCAAGCCCTGCAAAGTCACCCAAACGTCCCGCAGGTGGATTTGACGATGATGCTTGGGATGTGAAGCCTACAAAGCAGGAGCAGCAGACACAAGCGCAACCAGCAGCACCGCCGGCGGAGACACCCGCAAACAACACGGCTCCGGCTCCAGCTGCGGCCCCGGCCCCAGCTCCGGCTCCCGCGCCTGCTCCTCCGGCGCTCACTGGTTCCCTGCAAGAACTCTCCCTGTTAACAACACCTTTGGAGCCAAGCAAGACCGAGCCCCAGCCCCAGCCCGCGGCTCCGCTCGGGGGCGTAGACAAGGCGCCTGCACCAGCGCCCCAGCAGCCGCCTTTGGGAGCAAGCCCGGCCTTCTTCCAAACGGTGCCCCAGCCGAACCAGATTCAGCCCTCTCTGACAGGAGTTCAGCCCTCTCTGACAGGAGTTCAGCCCTCTCTCACCGGGGTTCACATTTCGCCAAAGACTCTAGGAAGGCAACGCCCTATCGCGCCGTCTATCTCGCCGCCAGTTCAGGGGTCGCTTGTCGTTCCTCCGCCACCGCAGCGACCCCTTTCTGCTCCGCAGTCGGCTCTCCCCCAGGGCATGTTTGCTGCTCCCCCGCTCGTCCCCCAGGTTACCGGCCTTGTTCAGGGCCAACCTGCACCACCGGGACAGAGCCTCAGCGACCTTGCCCAGGCCCGGCTGCAACAGCAATATACTGCGCAGATACAAAACCTGCAGCCGATTCAGCCAATGCTCACGGGCTACGTTGGACCGCAGCCGCAAGGCCTGGGTCCGTTCCCTCAAGGAGCTCCTGGGCCGTACTTGCAGCCCATGATGACTGGAGCGCCTGGCTACGTCGACCCAAGCCGCTTCAGCCAGTATGGAGGGCTTCAACCTCAGCCGACCGGCTTCCAGCCAGGGTTGGGACAGTCTCCCTTTGGTAGCGGAAGTATCAACAACTTCCTGCCGCCGCCTCTGCAGCCACAGCCGACTGGATTCCAGAGCCTGCAACCCCAGCAGACAGGAGCTACGAATGATTTGAAACCACCCATGCAGCCTCTTGTCCCGCAGAAGACCGGCCCCCCTCCGCCCGTCCGGTTCGGCGTGACGCCCGAGACGAAGAAGCTCACTCCCCAGGCAACCGGCCGCCGGGCCAACCTGGCGCAAGCGAGTAAGTGTCGTTTTGTCCCTTATTGTGCTTCTTCCATGCCTTGCAACTAACGATATATCTTTCTCTTGTAGCTCCTGACAACCCGTTCGGCTTCTAGATGGGAGGGTTTATTTCTCGCGACACACCTGTGATATATAGCTAATTATATAGTCTGATTTCAACACAACAAACACTGCCTGCTTGATCTAGCCCTTGTTACGAGTAGAAAGCAAAGCTAGAGATGTTTTCCCAAGTTGTATGTAATTTTAATACGAAGACATGTTGAATAGACGAGGTTTTGGGCTGGTCCACATTTCAGAGGCTCTATAGTGGTCGCAGCTATCCTTCAGTGGGCTGGCCGCTAAATTTCCAGGGGGCGGATAGCCTGCCAGCCCTGTACGGCTGTGCTGTCACTTCCAGTGGAGAGGTCCGTGTCTGGTTCATCTGAAGCTCTCGCACTATCAGTTGTACATACGTGGTTTGTTAACACCCCTTCACTTCTGCTCTCTCTCACAACCAGGCCATCCATCGTCACCGATCCGTTGCCGCCCCCCGTCGCCTTTACATGACCGCTCTGAAGCCAATGCATATTCCGTAGCCTCTTGGACCTCGCCCCCTTCGTCTCCCGCCATGGCAGAAGCACTGCAGGACCTGTTGGGCCTCGGCAACGGGCAGAAACTGGATGCCGCAACGGCGGATTACATCGCCTACCTGGCCGGACAGCCAGTCGACGCCCTGCGGACGACGGAGCGCCAGCAGCTGTCGCAGGCGTCCAACTCGGCCCTGCTCTCGATCCAGGCGCTGTCCAAGAAGTCGTACAAGGCCGTCGTGGGCTCGGCCGACAGCCATGCGTCTCTGCGCGAGTCCATCCCCGCGCTGGCGGGCGACGCGCAGCAGCTGGGCCGCCTCATCTCGAGCCTGGACTCGCAGGTCGAGCACTTCTCCGCCAGCGTCAGCAAGGCCGGCGACAGCAAGGCCATTGCGCGCCGCAGGCAGGTGCTGAAGCTGCTGGACAACGCGGACCGCCTGACGGATCTCATGCAGGTGCCTGCTCTGCTGTCGTCCACCGCCAACATCTCGCCGCTGGGCTTCTCCTCTACGCTGGACCTCTACGGCCACATCCAGCGGCTCGGGGCCCTGTATCCGGACTCGCAGCTCGTCTCGTACGTGCTGGGCGAGTCCGAGGCCTCTATCCTGCGACTTGCCGCGGACCTCATCAACTCCCTCAAGGCCCCGAATCTGAAGCTGGCTGCTACGCTGCGCACGGTGGGGTGGCTCAAGCGTGCCATCCCCGATCTCATCTCCTGGGCACCGGCGCAGGACATGATACCCGCCGTCTTCCTGATATGCCGCTTCATCACGCTCGCAGCCACCCTGGATGCGCTGGAGCCTCTCCGACTCCTGGCGGAAGAGGAGCGGCTCGGCCAGGGCAAGCCGGGACAGCCACGGTCCACCGGCCAGCACACGGAGCGGTTCCTGAAGCGCTTCATCGAGGTGTTCCGCGAGCACAGCTTTGGCATCGTGTCCATGTCCAAGAGCGTGGACACCAACCTGGGCGGCGCAGCCCCCGACAGCCCCGACCTCGTCCATCCCCTGCCGTCCGCGCTGTCCACGTTCCCCATCCACCTCGTCGGCATGCTGCTCGAGCCGCTCCGCCTCTACCTGCCCGCCGTCAAGGACAAGGTCGCCCGCGAAAGCATCCTGACGCAGGTGCTCTACTGCGCCGGCAGCTTGGGCAGGCTAGGGGCTGACTTTGGCATGCTGCTGGCCACGGTGGGCGTGAGCGAGTGGGTGGATTTAGTTAAGCGGCATAGGCTGCTGGCCGGGCGGCTGGAGTCGGTCATCGGGGATTACCGGTAACAAACAAGCAAAGCAAAGCAAAGCAAAGCAAACAAGCTTCGGCCGCTGGCATCCGCACTGTGCACCAGTGCGTCATCTCAGCCTCTGGTACGCACAAAGGCGACAACTTCCAGCAGAACAAGCAAACCGCTGAACGGCTCAAGCCAAGCACAAACAAGGGCCCGGGCCACGATATCATGAGCACACCAGCGTCATCGCGGACGAAACCGGCAGCGGCAGGTGCGCACTTCACAATGGCTTGTTCTGTGGAAATGTCTCATCCTAATCAATAGCGCAACACTTCTTCTTTGGCCTTGGGTCTGGCGTGGCATCGGCCGTCCTGCTGCAGCCGCTGGATCTGCTCAAGACGCGGACGCAGCAGTCGGGACACCATCCCTCATCGCTGCTGAGCTACTGGCGGGAGCTCAGGCAGTCGCCGCAGCCGATCCGCGCGTTCTGGAGAGGGACGCTGCCCTCGTCCCTCCGCACGGGGTTCGGGTCAGCCCTGTATTTCTCATCGCTCAACTCCATCCGCCAGTTCCTCCAAAAGTCCAATGCGTTCAGCCAGAGGATCCATGCCACCAGCGCCTCGTCGAGCCTGCCCACGCTGACGCCCACGGCCAACCTGGTTGCGGGAGCCGTGGCACGGACGTGGGCGGGCTTTGTCATGATGCCTCTGACGGTCATCAAGGTCCGCTTCGAGTCGAGCCTGTACTCGTACCCGTCCATGTGGGCCGCCGTGAGGGACATCCACCGCAGCCATGGGCTCAGAGGCTTCTTCTCGGGCTTTGGCGCCACCGCGATCCGCGACGGCCCTTATGCGGGCATGTACGTGTCCATCTACGAGATGCTGAAGAAGAGGCTGGCACTTTTGGCGTCTGGTGGTAGCCAGTCTTCCTCCTCCTCCGCCGAGGGGACAAAGGCCATGAGCGCGTCGGTCGCCAGCTCCGTCAACTTTGCGTCGGCCATCTCCGCAGGCGCCGCGTGCTCGGCCATATCCAACCCCATCGACGTCTGCAAGACGCGCATCCAGCTCCAGCCCCAGCGGTACCGGAACCTGTTCCACGCCGGCTACCGGATGGTGGTGGAGGAGGGCTTCCGCTCGCTATGGCGCGGCCTGGCCCTCCGGATGAGCCGCAAGGCGCTGAGCTCCGCGCTTTCGTGGACGATATACGAGGAGCTCATACGCAGGTATACCGCCAGCTACGGTGCAGGGCGCAGTCTCAGGTCGGTGTAGATGTATATCTGGCTAGGGTACGAAAAAAAGGGGGCTCTATGATGTACGATATATTGAGTTGGGGAAGGCATTTTCAAAACATGACAGGCACTTGACTCGGTTTCTTCACTCGGTTTCTTCTTCTTTTCCGTTGATTCTCCTTTGGTGTATTCTTTAGAAGTAAGGTAGCCTGAAAAGCAATACAATAGCAACAAGCATACGGACTACATAAACAAGAAAAAAACATGAATCATTTCGGCCTGCACACGTGTTGCAATAAAGAAAGACAAAAAAAATCCAGACATATATCTCGTGAAAATCTCGTGAGAAGGGGAGGAGAGGTCATTACGAGGGGCGAGCGCCGGCCAGGTACATGAGCAGCGCGGGCGACTTGCTCCTCTTGCGGTCGTGCTTCTTGCGGACAAACTCGAGCTCCGTCTCGCTGCTGCCGCGGTGGTGGTGGTGCTTCTTGTCCTCGACCATGAGCAGCTTGCCGCGCTTCTCGCGGATGAGCTCCGTGTGCCGCCAGAACTGGTCCTGCTCCCATTCGGGGACCCAGCGCTTGATGAGGATATAGTCGGGGTCCTGGAAAGATGTTTGGTTAGCAAAAGATGGGCTCTGCAATATGGAACGAGAATTGTTGGGAATGAATAAAACTTACATTATCGTATTCAAAGTCGATGCTAAACGTCCGCAGCGTTTCGAGCGACAGGTACTTGCGCGACATGCGCGTGTACGTCGGGCGCTCGACGGGATGCTGCTCCGGTGGCGGCGCCGGCAGAGCCAGAGTCGGGTATTGGCTCGGAGGCAGAGCCGGATGCTGACCTGGAAGTTGTTGAGGCGGGGGAAGAGCCGGAGGCAGACCCGGAGCCGGGGCCGGCGGCGTGGGCGCGACCCTCTTGTTGTTGAGGATAGCCTCAATGGCCTGCTCGTCGAGGCCCGACTTGACGAGGTCGTCGTGCAGGCGGCGACGGTACTCCCTGTCGTTCTCCTCCTTGCGCTTCTGCTCCTGGGCGATGCGGTCGGCCTCGGCCTTCTTGTACCTCTCGACGGCCTCGTGGGCCTCTTTTTCGCGACGGCGCCTCTCCTCGGCCGCCTCCTGCTCCTCCTTGAGACGCTTGAGCTCCAGCTCCTTCATGAGGCGCTTCTCCAGCTCGGCCTCGGTCTCGCGCTTCTTGATGCCCTCGAGCTGCTGCTTGGCGTGGCGGAGCTCCCACTCGTCGCGGTACTCCTTGTCGAGCCGGCGCTTCTCCTCGGCGGCCTCCTGCTCTTCCTTGAGGCGCTTGTACTCGAGCTCCCTCATCAGGCGCTTCTCGGCCTCCGCATCGGCCTCGCGCTTCTTGACGAGCTCCAGCTGTCGCTGGGCGAACCGAAGCTCCGCATCGTCTTGGTACTCTTTTTCGAGCCGCCTCCTCTCTTCGGCGGCTTCAAAGGCGGCGTCTTCCTCCTTGAGGCGCTGGAACTCGAGCTGCATGGCGATGCGCTTCTCCACGTCCTTCTCGGACTCGCGCTTCCTCAGTTCTTCAAGCTGTCGCTGGGTGGCGCGATGCTCGGCTTCCTCGCGGTATTCCTTCTCGAGGCGCCTCCTCTCCTCGGCGGCCTCTTCGGCAGCCCCCGCGTCCTTCAGACGCTTGTACTCGAGTTGCAAAGAGAGGCGCTTCTCCACGTCCTTTTCGGCATCACGCTTCTTCATCTCCTCGAGCTGCCTCTGCGTAAAGCGAAGCTCGGCTTGCTCGCGGAATTCCTTCTCCAGCCGCCGTCGTTCCTCGGCGGCTTCCTCGGCAGCGCCTTCTTCCTTCATGCGCTTATACTCGAGCTCCTTGACGATGCGCTTCTCCACCTCTGCCTCGGCGCCACGCTTCTGCAAGTCGTCAAGCCGCTGCCTGGCAATGCGGAGCTCGGCTTCATCGCGGTATTCCCTCTCGAGCCGACGCTCGTCCTTTGAGCGCTCTTCCCGGAGGCGCATCTCCTCGAGCTGACGGCGTGCAACCTCAGCCTCCCACGCCACGCGCGACGACTCACGACGGGATGACGAGGACGAGGACGAGCGGGTGCGGGAGCGGGAGCGGGACGATCGGCGGTAGACATTGCGGCGGCTGCGGCGAGGGCCCTCGTCGCTCAGGTCCTCGTCGGAAGAATGCTCATTGTAGATTCGGTTGTTGATGACGATGGGGGCCGGGGCCGCGGGCGGCGGAGGCGGGGCAGCAGCAGCAGCGGTGGACGCAGAGGCCACGGCGGCGCCCACGGCGGCCCGGCTGTCTCGAGGGCTCTCGCGGCTCAGGCGAGGCGGCGATCGAGGGCGCGAGGGCGGCCTGGCGAGGGTCGTGGCGCGAGGCTCGGAGCCAAGATAGTTGGTCCCGCTGCCATACTGGACTCCCCGCACGGGAGGGCCTGGCACGTAACGCACGTTGGGGGGCGACTGGCGGCGGGCGACGTGGATTCGGTACTCCTCGTCGGAGTCGTAGAGGCTGCTGGCCATCTTTTCTTCTTTTCCGTCACGAGCAACAGCTCATAAAAAAGATGAAGAGAAAAGAAGAAAGAAAACAGGAACAGAAAGAGTCACAAGCAAAGACGTCGCTCACTCCCAAAAAAAGAGAGAGAACGATAAGGCAGAATCACAAGGCAGGAAATGTGGGGGGAGGGGGAGAGGATTCCTCTGGGAGAGGGGGGGACGAAGCCATTTTGATTATTTATTACATACGCCTCTTAATCACCCGCGCTCGCAACTGGATGCGGCTCAGCTGCTGGTGCTCCACTGGGTGCCAAAAGCCTGCAGCTGCAGGTGCAGAGATGGCGCTTCAATGCTTGCGTTGGGTGTTGAGGGCGCTTCTTTGTTTCGCTGGGACGCGGTGGATTAGCGCTTATTGGCAGCCAGCAGCTGGAGCGGGAGGATTGGGGTTGGGGGAGTCAGGGAGGAGGGGGTGGGAAGGCTGGTCTAGCCGTAGCCGGGTGTGGATCGAAGGGTTGGATGGTGCGGTGGGCGATGAGGTGGTATTTTGTAGTTGTAGGTGTATCCCGAATATCAGTTGAAGGAGCAATAGTATATCAAGATGATGATGGAGTCTAACACAGCAGATGGATGAGCAACAGAGACGAGAGTTGCCTTGGGCTTCTTCATTCCATCTCATAATACTACTCAATACTCCGTTGATTTACCGACTCATCAATTGATTCTATTCATGGAACGCATCAGCTGCTTTCAGTCGTCAGGTGCCCGCCCTAAACCGCATTCGGCCTCGTTTTATGCTTAACGCAAGGCAGTCCCCGTCCGCTCTAGCGCTGAGGAAAAAAGAACAAAAAGAAAAGGAAAAAACAAAAAATTCCCCTGTGGCAGATGACCCGCTAGGCCCCTACAAACAAGCACTAACAACTGCTGTAAGGCTACCAAACTCGAACTTGCACCATTTCCCAAGGCTGTTGAATCATCACCATCACCACCATCATCGTCATCGCTTTCTCTCGCCAACAAAACAATCTCCGCCCCTCTACAACTACTCGCCCACTCAACGGAGGACAAATCGCCTTTCACAACTTGCAAAATACATCCTCAGAAATTCACAGCAGCACACCCGCCACACATGACTGCCCAGTTCGCCTCCCATGGCCGCGGCGGCGCGGGCAACATGGCCGACGCCGCCAAGTCCGCCAAAATCAGCACCTCCGACCTCGAGACCCCCGTGCTCAAGACCCCCGTCGTCACCACCGGCCGCGGCGGCACCGGCAACATGACCAAGAACAACGATCCCAAAGAGACCCGTCTCCGTCAGGACGTCCAGGCGTAAGTTCGACTGCCTCCCCCCCCCCCCCCCCCCCCCCCCCCCTTGACTCATCAGGGAGAGAGAGAGAGCGGCGATGTGATTGTCGCCTTTCTCTCTCTCTCTCTTTCTTATGCTACCTTGATGGGCGCATGTTGCCGATCCAGAACAATTTCTAACGCGGATCTTTTTTTTTTCCTTTACAGAGTACCGAGGCGACTCAGCGCGGGAGCCCAGCTGGGCGGCCGCGGCGGCGCAGGCAACGTCTTCAAGGGCGACGAGGAACAACTCGAAGATCTGGCGCGCAACCGGAGCGTCGAGCAGGCCATCGACGAGGCCCCCGAGAGGACGTCGGACAAGGCCTCTGACAAGTCGGTCGACAACAACAAGACGGACAAGGCTGAGGGAGCAACGAAGCGGCGGTGGCTGTTCGGCAAGAAGTAGATGAAGCGTCACACGTCACACACGGACAAAAGAGCGCTGGGCTTGCTCACGGCTCTCTTCCTTCCTTTTTATTTATTCTTCTTCCGCTGGTCTTTCATCTCCTCTTTTTCTTCAGATACCTCCGGTTTTGTTTTTTTCTTCAAGGTTCTATTTTGGTTCGTGGCTTTTCCTTTCGTGAGTTTCGACGGCGCATTCTGCCAGGGTTATGCTAAGGTACGGAGTCTTTTCGGTGGTCCAAAAGAAAAAAAGAAGACAAGAATTGTTTGTGGGCTTCAATCAGGAAATGGCATCCAGAATCAAAAGGGCAATTCAACAGACGGAGCAGTTCTTGGTTCTTTTTTTCCTTTCTCTTTTTAGATCGGGCTTACAGTACGGCTTTGTCCAGTGCAATACACTAGTCTGACTCTGCTGCTGAGTTGAGAGTTGGTCTTTTTACCTTTTTTTCTTCCATCTCTTCCCTTTGTTCATTGTCCGACGGTTCGTTTCTGCTTCTTGACTTTTGCTGTGACTTTATGGTTTAGTCAAGCGATGAATCTCCTCAAAGAAGAATCTCAGGTTGTCCGGGTTGACTCCCGGTGTGATACCTAAGAAAACGAGGCGGGTCAGCAATGTAAAACACACGTGCAACAACATATATCATCCTACCGTGACCCAAGTTGGCGATCCAGCCCTTCTTCTTTTCGGTCCAGAACCCCTTGACCATGTCCTCGACGGCCTTGGTGATGGCGGCTCTTGAGCCGTACAGAACTCCAGGGTCGGCATTGCCCTGGAAGACAACGTTCCTGTCGCCCCGAATCCGCACAGCCTCGGCAGGGTCCTGCAGCCAGTCCATGCCGACGACGTTGTATCCCAAGTCGCACGCCGCATCGAGAGCATACCAGGCTCCCTTGGGGAACACAGTCATGGGCACCTTTTCCAGTCCCAGCTCCTGCAGCTTCTGCGGCAGCTTCTGCGCGATATGGGCAAGGTAGGGTTCTGAAAACTCCTTGAACGACGCGGGAGACAGCTCTCCCGCCCATGAATCAAACACCATCACCAGCTGTACACACACACAACCACAGTTAGCTGGCTTCAACCCCCCGACATCGAAACAAAAAAAAACATCCATACCTGAGCACCAGCCTTGACCTGCAGAGCCAGGTGCTCCACGCAGACATCCGCAATCTTGGCCAGCAGCCTCTTGGACTCGTCGGGGTACTTGTATATCCACTTCTTGGACTGCGCAAAGAGCTTCGTCCCGCCGCCCTCGACCATGTAGCAGAAGAGCGTCCACGGCGCGCCGCAGAAGCCAATCAGCGGCACCCGCCCCGCCAGCTTCCTCCGCGTCAGCGTGATGGCCTCGTACACGTAGCCCAGCTCGGCGGCGACGTCGACGTCGCCCGCGAGCACGCGCCCGTACTGCCCGTCCTCGGGGTCCTGCAGCGGGCTCGGGAAGTGCGGGCCCTTCTTGTCCACCATCTCGACCTGCATGCCCATGGCCTGCGGGATGACGAGGATGTCGGAGAAGATGATGGCCGCGTCCAGCAGGCCCGCGAAGCGCTCCACGGGCTGCAGCGTCAGCGTCGAGGCCACCTCGGGGTCGCGGCAGCACTCGAAGAAGTCGCGGGTGCCCTTGGCTTCATGGTATTCCGGGAGGTAGCGGCCGGCTGGACGACATCTCGGGGGTCAGACGCTAATAACTCTCGCAAGACGGGGGCCATAAGTCAAACAGCCATAACATACCTTGGCGCATCACCCACATGGGAGGTCTCTCCACGGTCTGTCCTAATCGATGGGCGCAACACAAACGTATAAGCAACAGGCCCAGCCAAAGAATCTCATAGCAACCATTCCGCAGCAACAATCGGCAGACAAAACCCACCCCATGCCGCCCGCAGCAGCAGATCGTTCTTCAACGGCTCAAAGTTGTGCTCCATCGTGGTGTCCAGGCAGAGGTCAATGTGCAGCTTGTAAAAGGTTTCGTCACAGCTGGAGGCACTCGGTAGCATAACTGCAAAATGGCAGACCAGCCTTCAGTCCAGGCTCAATTGCTGGAAGACCCCACCAACTGGCTGGCATTCACTCCCCCGCGGGGTACGTACCTGCAATGGCACGGATGTCGGAGCCCTTTCGGCCCGTAAAAAGCAGACCACTGGCAGGGTGCCAAACTTGAGGTACGTACCCCGGCTGCCCAGCACTTGAAGCTGTCTCCAAGCTGTCACTTCAAGTTCATCAACATCATCATCTCATTCACGTCACCTTGAATTCACCCCATCAATCCACACGTCATCATCGCCACAAACATGTCGGAACAGGAGCTCCAGATCAACCCCATCGTCCAAGACTCCGTCGTCCACAACACAAAGGTACATCCATCCTTCTCACCCGACTGCCTCACCCTCTCCCTCAGCTATGTACTGAGCTCATGGCCCATGAAGTCATTTGCATCACAACGTCCAGCCCAGTCTAACCTCACTTCAAAGTCCCTCACCAACCTCCACAGCCTGACGGCCTCCCTCTTTGGCGTCAGCGCAGGCATCCTCGGCCTCGAGTCCTACTATGGCTTCATCTACTACATCGCCCTCTCATTAACAACCAGCCTCCTCTTCTACGTCTTCAAGCTCGCGCCGGGCTCTCTGGCCGAAGGCCGCAGCGTCCTCGACACCGGCCGCTACTACAAGGGCGCTCTCGAGCTCTGGACCAGTCCCATCTTCAATGGCTTACCGGGATTCATTCTGACGTGGACCTTATTCTATGGCTTGGTGAGGGCTTGAAAGCGGGAAGGGCTTGTCTTAAAAGGAGAGGGGATGAGGCATGCATCAGCTGAACCGGCCAAGGAGAGGAACGACAATGCAGAAAGCGATTACCCGTTGGCTTTTTGACAAACCAAAAATCTATTACCAGTACTATAATGAAACAAGCCAACCTACTAATGATGTGGCCTTCAACTTGTGTACTTCACATATCATGCTTCATGTTACAACGTCCGTTATCTTTCCAACAAGACCCTGCAATCCTGATGCGTCCTGACTGCCATTCCCCATGATTATCACCGAGGTCCCCAGCTCAGCCCACTTGCGACTATGAACCAGTTCTACCGATACCTTGGTCAGCTTTTCTTCCGAGAGATGCCCTGCAGCTTCGGCTCTTTTGTCGGCATCAGACGCCGCAGCTGTCTCATTTGCTCTGCCGCGGCTTTGAGTCGAGACGTCAACGATCCGGGCAGCAGTTCGGACACAAGCAAAAAGCACATTGACTGTTGTACCCGATGGAGGGAACTGCGCGGCATCCTCGTCAAACTCCGCCGTAAACCCACGAGCAGCCTGGAGAGCGACTTGACTGCCCAGCGCGTCGACAGGCGGTATCGCCATGACCATGCCTCTCCTGATCTGCGGCGGCTCCGTTTTCAGAAGCATCAGTTCGGTTTGGAGCTGCTCAAACACGATCCCGATAGTGCCCACCTGGCCAGCTTCCAAAGTGCCCACAGGTAGGCGAAGGTTGCGGATGCTTACAATGCGGCCCCTCTGCCACTCGTCTGCAGCAATGACAGGTGGCGTTTCGTACACCCCCCTGCCGCTACTTGCATGTCCGGCTGCTACTGCGTCCAGCATGGGCGACCCACGATCATCAGGCGACGATTGGTCTTCAGAGGCGGAGACACGGCCGTGGCCAGTCGAGAAGGGCCCTACAACGACAGTCTGTCCCACTGAGAAGCTGCCGAGGCCAACGTGACCGGATACAATGACCCCGTCCGCGTTTGATAGCGAGTCATCAAAGGATCTTGGCAGATTGAACGTGTCATCGATATGGAAGAGATCGTTTGGCTGCTCCGGCTGTGTCCTAGTTTCTGTGGAACCATTCTGCGGCGGCGGCGGCGTCGTCGTGGTCGACATCTCTGGCAGAGGCAGGCTTGCAAGCAGAGCATGGACAAGGCCAACGCCGACACCCTTCAAGACACTGGTGAAGACAATGGGAACATGCTTCAGGGGGCGTCCCTGTTCGGCAATGCTCTCAACGTAATCCTGCACCTTGTCCCAGTCTGGTTGTGGAATTTCAGCCAGCTGATCTTGTGGCTGCTGGTCCGGCTGAAGGAGCTTCGGCATCCGCTTCGCATCCCTGATAGCAGCGAGTATCTTGGTCATTGTTTTCTGCAAGCTTGCTTTGGACGCGAGGTCCAGCTTGGTAATGACGATGGCTAACGGAACGTCGAGCTTGAGCGAGAGATCTAAATGCGCCTTGACCAGATCAGCGTCTCCCGAGTCCGTCACCGTAGAAGCCATGTCATAAGCCACTTCGGCGTCATCTGCAGCAATGCAGAGGACCATCCAATGCGGAGCCCAGTTCATCAGCCCGCGGAAGACTGTATGTCGATACCTTGGATGGCCACCTGAATCAGACATGAAGACGAGCCGGCCATTGTTCGCATAGTCATGAATGTCCAGCCACGACTCAATGTTGCGGTGAGAGAAGCTGAAAATGAGTCTTTCCTTGTATCCGATGAGCTCCTGCGCGATGGAGCTGGTCATCCCGGATGCCATCTCATGGCGATGCTTCAGCAAGCTCAACCTGCTTTTGCCTCGACCATTATCCAGAGTGCCTGTCGACAACGTCCCCAAGAGACTCGACTTCCCCGACGCTATGGGACCCGTCAGTGTCACCCGCAGCTGAGGTGTCGTAGACTTGGCATGACCTGGCGGCGCGGTAGCAGACGTGGATGATTGCAAAGGAGTTCCACCACTGGATCCTCCACGGCTCTGGACACCTTGAAGCGACTTTGAACGCTGTGTTTCTGTATTGGGCGTGATCAATGCCTCAGCCACCCAGAGTTTGTCCTGCTTTGTGACCTGGATCGGATTCTGGACAGCATTGCCATCGGGTTCTGCGACATCGATCCATTCACATTCGCCCACAATCACCATCCGCAACACCGTGACGCCGCAGCCCAGGCTCGCGGCCATGTTCTTCAGAGTAGCAATACTCTCGTCCAGCTCGTCCCTGCTGAGTCCGATGAGCGTTCCATCGTCAGCGACGCCTATCTCGTATAGAGCGCCCTGCGACTCTTCAAGACCCGGCATTTGGGTGCCGTGTGCATCCAGCGGCTCGGCATCTCCCTTGCCGTCGGATAGCTTCGGGATCCTCACTTCTCGGGAGCTCGACGCATGATACGGCGACGACTGCTGCAGGCGCCATAGCAGCTGCGTCGTGAGGCGCTGGAGACGCTCCTGGCGAGGCTGGTTGGACGAGGAAGGGGTCGGAGACGCCGAGTACAGCGCCGCGACGTCTCCAGGCTGGGCATGAAGCTTGTCTCGTTTCTGGCGCACGGTGCTCATGTACACGTAGCTCCGCCGTGACCGCAGCAGCAGATGAAGCTTGTACTCGATGGGGCCCGTCTGCGGCTCTGCTTCCAGCCTCGTGACGCCATACTCGGACAGCAAGCCGGTCTGAGTCACTGCCGCCCCGGGGCCCGGCGAGCTGTCTGCATCATCGGCCTGGATCCAGGGCGACGAGACGCGAGGAGGGTCCGGATCGTACGTGAAGACGGAGGCCATTGGCGCAAACTTGTGGTGATTTGATCTGATTCTCCCTGCTCTACCAAGGCAAGATGGTTCATACTCTCATGGTCCGATGTGTATGTGCAAAGCAATGCCGGGCAATGCGTATCATGGTGAGCGGCTGCGACACTGGCTGCAGGTAATGCGAGGAGCCTCCTATCAAGGTCCCTAAGAATCAAGCGTGTAGATGGAGTAACATATAGACGATGAGCGATGGCAAGGGAGCTGGCGTTGGAATATGAGGAGCGATGAAGGACAGCGGAAATATATACAAGCAGAATCAATCGAGCGCCAAGTCAGGCCATGAGTGAAGGTGACGGACAGAGCCAAGCCACTGACTGACCGTAGGTGTGACTCAAACAGAGCTCCTGATGCCTGCGTGAGAACCCGAGGTGAGGTAAACCTTGTAAGGGATACGGAGTACGTTGAACGGGGATAGGCCGGTACTTGTCCCTGGTTGAGCCATGATGATGTAACCCGCCGGCCGTGCTGTTGAGGGTATTGATGCCGAGGAGCTGGTATGGCGCAGTACTTGCCTGACTAAGATGTCGTTCGCTAAGCCCGATGGTTTCCATCTCGTGCAAAGTACTGCCATAACATGGGGAATTCCGGGTCGTAACGCGAGCGCCATGCCCATACATCCACGGAATATAATATCACACGCCTCCAGCTCTATTACCGACAGTCTACCTGCATTTTGAAGAATAAAAGAAAAGAATCATCGTTTCCAAATAAGACACATGGTATGTAATGCATATCATAAATCAATACATTATGTCATAAACACACGTCAAGCCTTGCACAACTCCGTAGTCTATAATCATCTAGACACCAACTTGAAGCCTCTATTAATCGCTTTACCTGATACGAGCCAGCCGTTCTCTGTTCATCCTCGTAGCGTCATCAACCGCGTCACTCTGCAAGCAAGCATTAGCCATCCGATGCCGGCAGTCGGACAAAGAGTCAGAGGGTGATTTACCTTGTTCATGATGCGGTCAATCTGCTTGTTCTGAGCATCCACCTCGCTGCCAATGGCCCGGCCGACCATGTTCATCATCTTGACCTGTCCCTCCAGCTCGGTGAGACCCTCGTCGATCTGGTCTTCGAGCTCGTCGGCGCCCTCCTCGTCGTCCAGGTTGAACTTGCCGTAATCCTTCTTGCGGCCCTGCTGCCGGCCAATGCCCGTGTTCAGCTGGCGCATGTTCTGCTCCATGCGCTGGGTGGCTGCGTAGCCGTCGCGCCGCGTGGTTTCTCGCTGCTCTCGCTCAGCCCGATGACGGGCCAAGATCTCTTCGTCGGCTTTTTGTTGGCGCTGTTTGGACGTGAAGGGGTTCCCCACGTGGACCGCAAACATGCTGCCGTTGAGCGTCTTCAGCTCAGCTGCCCTATCCTGAGCGATCTTGTTCTGGTTGGCCGCGAGGTCGAGGTTCTTCTCGGTATTGTGCAGCCGTTCGCCCTGGGCACCGAGACGAGCCAGGGTTGCACGTCCGACTTCGTTGGCCTGTCTGGCCATTTGCACCGAGCGCTGTACTGACGAGACACTCTCCTGCTGAAGCTGCCTTTTTTCAGCGAGAATAGCCTGGTAGTCGGCCTCCTCTTGCTCCTCCTCTGTCAGCTCCCGCTGTTCGCCATAGCCACCATAGGAACCGCCAGAGACACCTGATGGCGTGCTGGAGCCGCCAGGTGCTGGAGCCGCCTGCTGCTTTTGCTCGAGTCGCTGCGCCGCTCCGCCGAAGAGGGCATCTCTGTTGGTGTCGGGAGCGTCACCGAAGCCGCCGTAGCCTCCAGGGCCCCTAGCCCCCGACGGAACAGCCTGAGGAGGGCCACTGTTGTAGCGGTTGGAGCCGTAGCCGCCGCCCGAGCCGTATCGGTCGCTGCCGTAGCCTGAGGAGGCCGTCTGCGGAGGGCCTGCGTTCTGTCCGCCCTGGTACGAGGCATAGCCGCCTCCAGGGGGCGGTCGGGCGCCGTTGTTGGGCGCGCCTTGGCCCGGCTGGTAGGCGCCCATGTTGGCATATTTCGTCTGCTCGGCATAGGGGTCGCTGGCGCCTGCGTTGGCATACGGGTTGTCCGAGGGGGCGGGCGAGTGCTTCTTGCGACTGCCGAAGAGGGCGCTTCGGTTGGCGTCCTCGCCATCGTCGCTCTTCTTGCCGAAGCCGAACTTCTTCATTGTGCTCTGGTGTGGTGTGGTGCTGATGCTGATTGAATCAAAAGGGTATTGTTGCGAGTGCCGCAGTGAAAGAGAAAAAAGGAAAACGAAGAGAAAAAAGGCGGCACGTTACTGATGCGAGAGAAAGGAGATGTCACAAGAAGAAGAACAAAGACGCAGTGGTGAGGCTTGGGTGCCAACTCCCTACTAATCTGAGCCACTCTAAATGCGTAGAAGTACCCCGTAAGGAACTAGCGTGCAGGTGGGACGAGGACCCTGGCGGGCACTGCAGTTGGCCCACCCACAGCAGAGGAGAGACACCCCTAAAATGTCTACTGAAGAATAAGCCGATGGAACAGAATCTGTCAGATATTCTCGATGAAATACATCACGGTCGAGGACATATACATTCTATCTATCCATATACGGAGTACTACCTAGATTGAAACAAGAATCTGAGTCAGTGTTAGCCCTTCCAGTACCTCTTCTGCAGTATTAGGTAAGCAACCCACCTTTAGCAAAATCCACACCAGGTGGCCGACTTTTGCACTGGGCACCGTCGATATCTTATCAGTGACCTTCATGCATGTGAAATTTTGAGAAACATTTCCAGAGACGAAGAAAAAAGAAATTCAAGTTCCAACCAACAATGTCTGGCTGCTAAAGTTTCTCGTGCAGCCTCTCCTAATTCACTTCTTCTTCCTCCTCCTCCTCCTCCTCCTCGACCCTACCTCATCTCTCGACAATGGCTGCCTCAAACTCGACAGAGCATGCGCCCAAACGACGAAAAGTTCGACAAGATTCAGGAACCGTCACAATTGGAGGCAAGGCCATCTCGGTGGCCGGATATCTCTCTTCTTCCCCCAAGCCCAAACAAGCCGAGGCAAGCAGCCTGACATCAACGCCCTCAACTCCGTCGCAAGAGCAGCCATCGAAAGCCGCGCCACAACAATCACAACAACCGCCGAAATCAACGCCGCGCGAAAAGACCGAAACACATGGCAAGGCTCGAAATGCAGGCAGCTCCAAGGAGAACCCGTTGCTCAAAGCTCGCCGGGAGCTGCCGATATGGCAACACCAAGACGAGATCCGAACGGTCGTGAAGCGCGTGGGCACCGATGTCATTGTCATTGTGGGAGAGACTGGTTCCGGAAAGAGTACGCAGGTGCCGCAGTTCCTCTACCAGGAGCCCTGGTGCAGACGACACAAGGTCAAGCTGCCAGGCCGGCAAGAGGAGGGATATGTGGGCGGCATGATCGCCATCACGCAGCCGAGACGAGTTGCTGCCACGACGCTGGCGCAGCGTGTTTCAGTCGAGGCGGGCACTCCCCTCGGCAAGGGACGGCCTGACGGGCTTGTGGGATACTCGGTTCGATTCGATCACCAAGTGCCCAAGGGAACCAAGATCAAGTTCTTGACAGAAGGTACTTTGCTGCAGGAGCTGCTTCGGGATCCCTACCTGAGACAGTACAGCGCCGTCGTCATTGACGAAATCCACGAGCGAAGCCTAGACGTTGATCTCCTGGCCGGATTTCTGAAACAGATCCTGTTTGGGGATCAAACGCAACGAGGAGGCATTCCGCTCAAGGTCATCATCATGAGTGCGACGGCCGAGGTGGGTGTCATCCAGGAGTTCTTCGGCAACGCGGCTGCGGAAGGAAGAGACAAGGCGAGCAATGTCGAGCTGCTGCGGATCAAGGGCCGCCAATACCCCGTCACGATACACTACGAACCCCGGCCGGTGCCCGACATCCAAGATGCGCTGCTGAAGAAGATTTTCAAAGTTCACGTCGAAGAGCCGTTGCCCGGGGATATCTTGGCTTTCCTCAACGGCCAGGAGGATATCGAGGCTGCGCAGCGGCTCATCGAGGAATATGCCACGACTCTTGCGTCTAACGTGCCCAAGATCGTAGCCGTTCCCCTGTATGGACAGCTTTCGATTGAAGCACAGAGTATGGCCTTTCGACCCGCCAAGACCCCTCGCACACGCAAAGTCGTCCTCGCTACCAACATTGCCGAGACGTCCGTCACAGTCCCGGGCGTGAGATATGTCATCGACTGTGGCAAAGCCAAGGTGAAGCAGTACCGACCGCGGCTCGGCATGGAGTCGCTATTGGCCAAGCCCATTTCAAAGTCATCCGCCGTGCAGCGTGCTGGTCGTGCCGGCCGTGAGGGCCCAGGCAAATGCTTCCGGCTTTACACGGAAGAGGCCTTCAACAGCCTTCAAGACTCAGACCTCCCGGAGATTCTGAGAAACGATGTCCTGGGGGCCGTTCTTACCATGAAAGCGCGCGGCATACAGGATGTCATGGCCTTTCCCCTGATAGACGCACCAGAGCCTGCGGCGATCGAAATGGCCCTGCTTCATTTGCATTTCCTGGGAGCACTTGCGGACGACGGCACCATCACGGCGGCGGGCGAAACGATGGCCAGGTTTCCGCTTTCGGCTCCCCTGGGGGCTGTTCTCCTTGCCGCTGCAGGACCCGAGTTTGACTGCGTCCTCGAGGTGATTGATGCCATCTCCTGTCTCACATCAGGCGATGACATCTTCATGCACGTGCAGTCGGAGGAGGGCTCGGAGGAAGTAGAAGAGTATCGCAAGGACGTGCAGAGACGAGAGGGCGACATCATCACGTATCTGACAACGATGCAGATGTATGCCGCAGAGAACTCGGACCGGATCGGCTGGTGCAAGAAGCGCAAGATCAACATCCGAAACATGAAGCAGGCGTTGAACATTCGCCGGCAGCTTCGAGGCATGTGCTTGAAGGAGAAGCTTCTCTCCGAGATGCCACCGCCCGATCCCCAGCCGTTTACGCCTCTGTCGCCGGAAAGGGCGGAGTCGGTGATCAAGTGCTTCCTCAGGGGCTTCGCAATGAGGACGGCGATGCTGGCGCCGGACGGGAGCTTTGTGACGGTGCACGGCAAGCATGTGGTTGCCATCCACCCTTCGAGTGTCATGCATGGGCAGAAGAAGGAGGCCATCATGTTCCTTGAGCACGTGTATACGAACAAGAATTACGCAAAGAAAGTGAGTGCGATTCAGGCGGCATGGATTGCCGAGGCATTGGGGAGGTAGTAGATGGGCGGTTAGATTAGACATATTCAACTCATGATAGAAGCCAATGCCCTTTTATAAGAAGATCGTAATATACAGTCTAATTCTACAGATTACTTAATTCACAAGATGCCTTTCGAGCCGGGGCTATTCAGCATCTTCTCCGTTGTGATGCTTTTTGATAGCCTGCATCAACTCATACAGCTGCTGGATTTGCTCGTCTGTGGGGGATACACTCAGCTGCTCTGCTCATGACAATGGCATTTGGGGCTGGGAGATGATGTGAGAAAGGGGCTTACCGCTCATTTTCTGGAGTTTGCTCTGGTCAATCTTCTCGCCCACCCAGGACTCGCCTTCGATTTGCTGAGCATACATTTGCCATTCGGAAAGGAAGCCGATCTAGAGAGTTCCAAAGTCAGCATCACAACGCAGACAACTCATTCTATCCATAATTCCATGAGGCAGTAGTAGTAAGACCGTGAGCCGGAGTACAGTAAGATGAACCCAGACAGAAAACCGAAAGTCATCACATCCGGCTCTCTCTCTCTCCCCCTTTGACCACACCGTCTTGTTCTCATCCCACACACACACACACACACGTACCAAATGCGCAGGATTGTCCACGTTGCGATGAGCCCTAAACTCCGCCTTGACGTACTCGTCGCCTAGGACCCTCATGTCCGGCGGCAGGTATTTTCGGTGAGCGCGCAGGAGGCGCCGGTAGAGCGGGATGGGCGGCAGGAGGGCCATTGGCTTGGGGCGCAGGCCGCCGCCGTTTTGCATGGCCGCGGCGGAGGCCAGTCGGGCGATTGACGGGCGCATGTTGCGGCTTTTTTAAATGTGGTTGTGTATTTGGTGGTTGAGACGAGACGAGATGAGATGGGATGAAAGGGGACTGAGATGAGAGGATGCTCAGGCGAGAGGATATGACATCAACGTGTCGTGAAAGGCAGGCCGTTTCAAAGCAATTGTCTCGGTCGTGATATCTCGTGTAGGAGATTTTCCAAGGGTCAGCTGAGGGCAGCTATGAGTAGAATCGTCAAGCCCAGATGCAATGCTATACTTCAATCGTTTAAGGTGACAACATCAGTATAAGAGGTAGTCTAGAAGTTGCTCAGCATTGTCTGGAGGCTAAAGGCAACAATCAGAGCCGCGGGCCCTAGAACTAGCAGAGCAAAAGGTCAATGGGCAGTATGTAAGTACCTTGCCCCACCAAACAGACCACCACCAGGCCAGAAACTGCATCTTATAAAATCATTCATCAAGATTTGACACTCTCTCTTCACACAAGCCTCTTCATCCGTCACTCATCTTTGCTCAAGGAGCTCAGTCCACTCACTTCACTCCACCACTTGAGCTCATACCAGAGGCTTCTACTGCTGCAAATCGTCAACATGTCTTTCTCATTTGGCTTCTCTGGAGACGACATAGAGCCCGATCTTAACGAACCTCAACCTCACCCTCAACCTCAACCTCAACCTCAACCTCAACATCAACCTCAACTCCAACCCGAATCTCAACCCCCCTCATCATACAGCGCCTTCCCCGTCGCCGGCAAGCCCCAACTCCCCGCAACCCCCCACCCGCTCTCCTCCCTCCTCGCCCAGCTGCCCTCCAAAATCGCCTACGACACCCTCGACATCGACCTCGCCAACGACGTCCCCAACGACAGCTACGCTCCCCGCCTGAGCCTCCCCCGCCGCGAGCTCTGGGACGTCCGGGTCCAGCTCATGGCCGAGGACGACGACGTCCTGTCCGGCTCCAGCGGCCAAGACCGCGTCGACGATGGCGGCCTCGGCAAGCACGACGTCAAGACGGGCATCTACGAGGGCGGCTTCAAGAGCTGGGAGAGCAGCATCGATCTCGTCAAGGTGCTCGCTGCTCAGGACGAGCTGACGGCCGCTCAGCAGGCTTCGTCGCTCCGTGTGATCGAGGTACGCTCCACGAATCCAGTCATCACTCACGATATCCGTTTCTCTCTCTTAAGATTCTTTGCCCAAGTATTCACTACCAGTTCTATATATCCAACTAACTCACTCATCTTCAGCTCGGCTGCGGAACTGCACTCCCCTCCCTCGCCCTCTTCACCTGGATCATGCACCGCCAGTCCCGCAACATGTGGCCCCAACCCCCCTGCTCCCTCATCCTCGCAGACTACAACCCCTCCGTCCTCCGCCTCGTCACCCTGCCCAACTTCCTCCTCGCCTGGGCCCTCCACCACGCCCACGACGATCCCGTCCTCGCCGACGCCTTCAGCATCGAAGGCGAGCTCGAGCTGTCCCCGAGCATCGTCCAGGCCTTTGAGAACTTCCTCGCGTCCAGCGGCATCCACCTGTCCTTCATCTCCGGGGCGTGGTCCCCCGAGTTCATCAGCTGCCTGTACGATTTGCCGGCCTTGTCATCGGGGTCCGCCTCACCGAGGACGCTCATGATCGGAGCAGAGACCATTTACTCTCCCTTTGCCCTGCAGGCGTTTGCACAGACTGTCTTTGCTGTGCTGGACCGTGAGCAGGCTTCTGGCGCGACGGCAGCTGCCTATGTAGCTGCCAAGCGACTATACTTTGGGGTCGGCGGCTCATTGGACGACTTCATTGAGTTGTCCCGGTCAAAGGGTGCCACGGTTACAGAACTGAGAGAAGAGAGCGAGGGTGTACGCCGCGGCGTAGTTCACTGCGTCTTGCAGAAGCAGTAAGGTGCACTCGCGGCATCGTCGACACCAAGACGACAGACGACAGAACGCAGTTATTAACTGTTATTCCTTCCCGAGGAATCCCCCAAATCTCAGGGGCCCTCTCCAGATTGGCTAACTACCTAGGCAAGGGCTGTGCAAATTCAAACATACCATGACCTGCGCAACTACATCAATATGTTTCATTTTCCCTTTCGTTGAAACTTCTCGGTACATTCAGGGCAGTACCAAGTGCCATTTGGTTCGCTCTTGAGCCCAACACAGGACCAATGGAACCACTCGTAGGGGCAATTGTCGTTGTCGCAGGCCACCATGTCTCCATAGCTCACGTTGTGGCATAGGCAGTACCGTTTGTCGTCGCCGCCTTCTTCGTCATCCTCGGCGTCTCCAAGCGCTTCATCTCCGTCGCCGTCTTTGCCGTCCGCCATGGGGGCCCTCGGCCGTGGCTCATGACCGTCGTCTTCTTCGCCGCTGCCGCTCCCAGCGTCCGACAGGTCACTATCAGCCGTCGACGCAGGGGAGTTTCGGTTGGACGCCTTCTTCACACGCGAAAGTGATGACCTGTTGGGCGGCTTCTTCCGGCCGGTCATGGTCGGGGTGCCTCTGCGACCCCCTACACCCACTGCGCCTTTGACCGATCCCGCTCTCGGCCCAGCACTGCCTGCCCGGACAGTAGCGCCGGCTCCGGAGCCAATGGAGCCGCTCTTGGGTACACCCGGTCCAAGGGATGAATGTCTCGCCAAACCACTCGACGTTGCGGGCAAATTTCCGGGTCCCGTGATAGACCGTGGACCCCTTTTGGTTGCCGGCCCAGCCGAGCTCTCTCGCTGCCTGTTCAGGATGATGCTTGCAGCGGGCGTGGTTGGTGCGGAAGATGGATGCTGGTTGTACTGGGCGACATGTTGCTGAGCCTGGGATTGTCTGATCTGGGGGTGGCTGGGGAGCCGGACCATGGCCGGGTTGGCAGAGCCGGCAACGGGATTGCGAGGTGAAGCCTGAGGACCGGCCGGGTTGATGTTGTTGGATAGATTCAAGGTGCGGATGGAGGGGGCGCTGTGATTTGCGGCACTGGGCCGGAGGAGTGAGGGAACCTCGTCGGGGTCTGTGAAGCCTGGCTCGGCGCGATCGTAGAGCAGCTTGATCTGGACATCCAGGCTCCGCACGTGCTTGTCCATGACGAGCTGCAGCCTCTGCATCAGGTTGATCTTGTCTTGAGAGAGCTGATCGGCGCGGGCATAGCTCTCTCGGATCTGGGCTCGCAGCATATCCTCCTTTGGATTTGGCTCATGACTCCCATTCGTCTTGATCCATTTCTGAATCTTTGCATCACGGTCGTCAATCATGCGGATGCATTCGTTGTACTGGCGGTCCTTGTCTGCGACCTCCTCCTGGATGAAGCGAATCTCCTCGGGGAGGTTCTGGACGCGGTTGATCCAGTCATCGAGGATCAAGCCGGGGTCGAGAGGCTCTGCCTGCGGCATCCTCTTGACGAAGTCGATGGACAAATCGTCTCTAGGCATGATGGTTAACGACCTGGCGACGCCGAGACCACAGAATCTGACGATGAACAGATGACGAATAGATAGACAACAAGGACTAGCGACGACGAGACGGCCAGGCTAGCAGATGAGCGCTTTGAGGCTGATGTAATTCGATGAAAATGGAAGGCTATTTTTGAACAGGATAGTGCACCGCTCGCTGTTTGCGAAAGATTGCAGACAAAGCAGACAAGAGCGAAACAAGAGTAAATGAGCTGTAAAGCAGGCTGGTGCTGATATCACGCCATGTGCATCTGAGGCGCGACTGTTGCTCTCATATATAGGTATGTATATATGTTTCGTATCCACGATATCAGGTGGAACAAGGTAGATGCGTCAGAGAGGATGAGAAGCACTCGTGTGGAATATAGAGAGAGAGGGCATACGCCATCTAGTCGGGGACACGAAGCAGGCACAGCACAGCGGGCAGACAAGGCAGACGAGCGTGCGTGACAGGCCGGGCAGCAGGCGGCGATGCGTGTGTAATTCGTGATTCGCAGCTCTGGGGCAGATAAAAGGGCAGAATCACCGCCAGACCAGCTTGTCCGCGTCCGAGTCCGAGTCCCCGCAAAGGAGAGCCGTCCGTCCCCAACGAACGGATGGGCCGTGGATGGGAAAACGGGTCCAGCCAGCCCTATCCCAGGACCAGGCAAGGCAAGGAAGAGAAAAAGAAGAAGAAGAAAAAAAAAGAAGAGGAGCAGCGGGTTGTCAAGAGCAACGGCAACGGCAACGCAACGGCAACGCAAACAACGGGTCGCAGATCGGGCTCGACAAAGTTGGGCCGGGCTCACCTC